GTCAATGAAGGAAGTGAGGTCTGAGAGTTCGACTCTGCGCGAGTTTGCGGCTTTATTTCTGATGGCCTTGTCGTATCTGATAATCCTCTCATGCGACCGTTCGAGCGTACGGTCGAATCTGGTGGTGATGTATTCTCCATAAGAGGCGAGCTCATCCTCTCGATGAGGGAAAGCGAATTTGATGGCTCTGGCAGTCCTATTCCAGGCTGCGGACCACTGCATTGCGGTGGTGATTTTCTTCGTGACTGTCTCTGATGTACCTGCATATTTGATCTCGATGTCGCCAATAGTCTCGGTGCATTTGTCAATGGTACGTGACGAGGAGATAATGGAGTGCACGGCGTCGAGATTGACACACTTGCCTGCGACGATTTCAGCCCATCCAGCTTCGTGGAATTCCGGGCTGCATCGGTGATACATAAGTTGTCGTCGTACTTCTTTGGGGTCTTGCGACCAATTGAGAAGGATCTCGTTAGTTTTTGTGAGGTTGGCGGAGAGCTGTCCTCCCGCACTTGATTGCTCGGCACGCGCAAGACAGGCGAGGTTAAGTTTACCTCGTTTCCGAGCAGGTTCACCTCGCTCGAAACTAACTTCCCGCTCATGTTCAATCTCTCTAGGAGAGATGGTTTCCCTATCTTCTGAACGGCGTCTGATGTCCGGTTCACGTTCATGGGGATCTCTGGTGTCATCCTGCTGTTTGGTCCAGTCTTCGAGCATGGCGAAATATGGATTCGCGATATAAGATTCGGCCTCGTCTGTAGCTTCTTGGGTGGAGGCAGTGATAGTCTTTGTGATAGTGATAAATGCCTCGGACTTTGAGATGAGGTCGTGTTTGTAGTCTTCGACGATACTAAGGCATTTCTCTGCCAGGTCTTGTTGGGAAAAAGACGATCTACCAGCCTCGGTTTGAGTCGAAGACCCTTTGATTCCGGGTCCTGTAAGTGAAGTTCCGATTGGGACATTACTGGTCATGGAGGTACGACGGAAGTGGTGTGTGTGCACGACAATTCAATATTAAATAAATTAATGGCGCAGCGGGTGCGCAAGCAGTGAGTGCTCAACGCTGGATGACGGTAAAGATCAAGGACCAAAGTCGCAGGAACCAGCCCCTCATCAGCATTTTAGGAGGCTCAGTCATGAGCATACGTCAGAAGATGACGTGGATGTGCGCAGAGGTGAGACTCGGCTTGAGCCGAGCGTGATCGTTGATTCAACTTGTTTAAACCAGTTAAAACTCGATTAAACTCGTACAGTCCGTGTGTCTTTTTCGGATGTCGGGGTCGGAAAGGCTACATTGGTTGGTTTTCGGAATCGGCATGTCTTGAATAAAATTGTGATCTTAGATTGGGTGGAGTATCTCAGATTGGGGTGGTGTGACGATTAGTAAGTGGATTGAAACTTTGTTACACTGCCGCTTACTTGTTGCGCATTCTCGTCTTTGTCCAGCTTCCTTCGTTGCCAGTGATCCTCTTTGGTTTGTGTGGACTGTTCAACAATTTCAGCGTGCTTGGCCAGCAGCCTCTGTCTCGTAATGAGCTTCGAGAGTATTTGTCGCGTCTGAATATTTCCGTCGGCAGGAGAAAAAGGTCGAAATGTAATAACATTCTTCCTTTCTCGCGTGGGCCGAATTCGAGCTCTGCCAACTGATGAGTTGCTCGTTTCACTTGCTTCTTTATGTGATGAGCGGGACTTGCCTTCTCCTCCTCGTTTGATTCTAATCAACAGATTTCTTAATAGGCTCGATGGTCTCAGAGACTGTATGTTCTGATAGTTGCTGACCCTTTGTATCCGTGGTGGGTTTCCGGCGTTCCGCAGCATCTGATCTGTTGATATTCAGACTCAGTCGCCTTTCAATTTCGCGTCTCCGTGAGCTACTGACAAAATTCCATCCCGATTGTCGTCCTTTGGTGTTAGGAAGTGTTAGGTCGGTTGAAAAAGCCTCTATATTCATGTCACTCTGAGTTCTCGTGTTTTCGGGACAAAAAAAAGGCAGACAAGAATTTCAGAAAGGGTACATATGATGAGTCGTTATCTGCATTCAATAATGAGAGAAAATACAAAAAAGGGGAGGGCTTCAGAGAGCCACGAAAATTCTCAAGACAGAATCGACAACGAAGGAGAGTCGGGGACTGGCGCCCGCGCCCTTACCATATAATACTATGGCAGAATGCGGCAGATGTTACCTAGATTAGCGACAGCGTCAAAGCGAATGTAAGGCTTCGCGAGATGCAACAACTTTCTTTACTTTTCCCACGATTACCGCCTCATGACGTCAAAATCATCCAACATGCACTACACAAGTTCCGTTTTCGTTTTCTCAGGCAGTACTGAGGACACGTACAACGGAAGTTACGGAACCCGCATTTTGTCGATCATGGTCTGCATCAGCCGAAGCTTATTACGATCCAGGTCACAAAGGATCCATTTTGCCCTGCGACATTTCACTGGAGGTTGATAGTCTTGAGCACAGTCGAGAAGGGCCGGGCGGAAGGGTTGCGAGTGTCTTTCTGTGGTACGCGTACAGTGCTTGCTTCACTACATTAACCTGTCTCGTATTTCCACAGACACCTAGGCCATAAGGCTGTTCGTCCCCAAACTTCTACCAAGCTCCTCCTGTGCGGATAAAATTTACTTACACGTTGTCAAAGATCCCCAAGGCCCACTTCCACTTCCGCGTAAGGCATACTGGTATGTGCCCTCGCCATTTTCGTATCTTCCAAGCTAGCCTCACAATGTGCAGAACCGCATCCATTGTCTCGAATATATCCGTTCGGAATACTGACAGCTATTCCCCTTTTCACTGTCCTCGTTATCTGCATTGATGGTATGATGGAGAGGGGAAAAGACCTAGCGCACGTACACGTGTACAGTTTCTACGAGCGGTTTGCGAGCAATCACGCACGTATTTATCTATGCCTTCCCTCTGTGACTTTGTTTTCACTTTGATAATAAGTATGAATACTCCACGCTCAGCGCCTCGACAATACGACTCAGTGTCCACCACACTACCTCAGCACTCCCCTCTCAGCTCGTCGTCGATCCGTGCCGCCTTGTCATGACATGCGTCATTGTGTCATCATAACCTGGACGTTTGATCTAGGTGGGTAATTCAGCATCTGTTCTTGCTATTTGTTCGGTGGTGCTATTCACGCATTCCCGCACCAAAAAGCTCCAAGTCCACCGCAGGCATTATGATCCCTGTTCGTCAAACTTGACTCGAGGAGATACTGGCAGGCAGGCATCCTAGTCCCGTCATGAGACAGTATTGTCCTTCCAGACATCTCCTAAGTTACTCAGTATCTTCCGGGATTCCTTGTCCTGTTGTTGACGGTTTATCCCCTTAACTCGACAAAATTTTAGAATCAGGTCTTCTTGGCTCCGAAAGTGAGTGGCACACCATCAGTATTGTCGACGTAGACCTCTCATCTTGTTCTAACCACAGCCTGAGCAGAGCAACTTATCATGCATCATGGACTCAATGATGTACCACAAATAGTTGAGCGTATTCTGCCAGTCTTTATTTCTCTCAGGTGATCTCTAAGCTGGAAGATCTTTTGACCGTTTGTCTTTATGAAAGTGCACCTCATTTTTTTGAAATCTTACAATCATCTATGTTTGATGATGGGATGCGAAACCTTATTACCATCGTAAGCCGAGGAGATGCTATGGAAGTGTGTACCTCAAGTGCTTCATGCAGACTTTTGCTGCATCACGGGTAAGCCAAGGTTTGTCAAATGAAATATTACGATTCTCCAGCATTCATGCTCTAATTACAGGGCTCGTAAAGGATGTATATACCTCTATGATTCGCACATAATCTATGCTATCTTAAAGGCAACGTGCGCCACCAACCCAAGCCGCGGCATTCGAGCCATAGGTAATTAGTACCCTCGTCTGTTACTCGCTCCTCTATAATACTCCTCGATCTCAGCACTGACTCTCAAATTTCACATAAGACATTGGCATGGCAGAGTTGGATGGAGATGGAACGAATCAGACACAGTTTCTGCTGTACGTATCTTTCTAGTTGTCGATTGACTTTTAGTGGCTTGTATGCGTAAAAGATCGACTAGTTGATCCTTGCACAATTACCTTTGTTACCCGTCAAACTCTTGCAAGTACTGACCGCGGCACACCATAGACGGTCATCAGTACGATTTGGACAAACCTGCTATGCATCATATTTCATCCTTCATTGAAAGGTAGTTGTCTTGATCCCCGTTCATACAGCATGCAGTCATCATTAACACGACTGAGCGCTATTGTATCTCTTCGAAGGTATGGATGTCAAAATCACAGCTACTCACCGGCATACTCAGCAACCTTCTTCATCGTCTTTCACACCCCACTCAGATTCAGTTTACAGCTCCTTATCTTTATAATCATCGCCATGTGCATGCACACGGCTCTGACACCATCGTATATCCTACGTGTCTTATCTTGCGTCGTTCGTGGAGTGTGGTGTGGACTGCACAGAATGGCTGGTGTGAGTGGGTTTGGTAGGGTTCGTGACGTAGTTTACTTATAGTAGGACTGCATTTTTGTCGCAGGACGGGAGGTACATTTGGATGGCCTCAAGGGGTGTCCAGTTTCGACTTGGATGAGTAAATAATAATTAAAATTTAGGATTTGAACATGCTGCTGAGCCAGAAGTACGGCCTGATGCAACTGAGTACAATGCTGCAGGTATCTACCAGCATCTAATACAGCGCGTCCTCGTTCGAACGTTCGATTGTGATTGAAAGTCTTCTTCAAATAGTTGACATATTTCATATCTTCGATTATGTCGTTCCATCAACGTGATTCCCTTCTGGCAAATGCTCTACAGATATATCCACATAATGTTGAGGCCCTGCAATGTATTACCAGAGTCCGCCTCTCTAGTATTGTTCGAGTTCAAACCCGTAGCTTCGCATGAACCCTTGACGACAAACGTGTACTTTCATAGTGTGATGAGAAATATTCAGATTCCTCAGCGGTGGACATATAAATGGTATATTGCATTGCTTTATGGTGTGATACAAGTAAGATGAAACAATCAGTGAGAGTATAGTGTAAACCCGATACCATCATTTCGCAAAATATGTAACGACTGTCTGTTGAAGTTACGGGTAACGTTCCACTACGAGGGAAGGAATAAGGGCAATATATTCTGCTCGCTGCTCTTCTGTTGTCTCCACTTCATAGCCAAGTGTCAGGCTCTTTAGGGGACAATTTGACCGTATCAAAAATGCCTTGAAGTTTTCGTGAGGCCATGCTCGCATAGCTCGAGCTTTGAGTACGCGTAGATCGGGGAGTGTGACAGCATTAAATATGCCACAGGGAATTGGCCTGATTGCACCATATTTGAAACCCGTGAAAAAGACCTGTAAGGATTGAAGTTTGGTATGCGTGAATGGCTCCAAGATTTGCTTCGAGTTATTAGATATATCAACTGATAAGGAGGACAGGTCGGGACACAGATGGAGCAAGTGGCAGATTGTGTTTAGTTGATCCACCGTGATCTGAACATTTGTGAGATGGGCCCATAATGCGGGTTCGAAGGCAGATAAGGACTCGAGCTCGAACTGCGGATACGGTATGTTGAGACTGCGCAGAGTAGACGGCGATTGCGAGATAGAGCGAACAAGATCTTGCATTGAACAAGGTGACCTGTATACGGCCAGTCTCTCTAGGGCGAGGAAGTCTGATATCACAGGTAGGCTGACATTGTAGTCAGTATGAAGAGCAAGCGACGAGACTTGATTGATATATGGATGAATAAGGTTTCGTGACTCGGCCCAGTCATTGTTGTTGCGACAATGGAGTGCTAACGAAAGTGGGCATCCTCGTGATCGCTTGAGCCAAGATTCATAAGAGAAGGCTGAAAGCCTCCTCTCTTTGCCCACAGACAGCCCGCACCACAAACTGGGCATGTCCACAGCAACCATTCTCCATCGTCGACATACTCTGGTCAACAGCAGGGGGGCCGTTTGTGGGCGGGGCGACAAGAACTTATTTTTCGGGAGACAGTAAACGAAAATGAGCGATAAAATTTCGGTCGGAAAGCGCCAGAGGGCCGATATAATTCTCCTGTGCGTGTTTTGGGACTCCGTAATCTTGGCCTCCTGGTCCAAGAGTCGCCAGCGAAGTTTCCTGACAAGAGCACTCTCCTTGAATAGGCCAAGATTTGAGGCCTTGAGGCGAACTGCATCCAACTGCTGCTGGCGCTCGACAATGATGGCCTTGATGGCCCGAACTTCGAGCTCGTCCAAGTTGACAGAGGGGTTACAACCGGCTCCAAGTGGGGAGTATGCGGTTTCGAAGTCAGGTGTCTGTCCACCATGACTAATAGACACGAGCTGAAGTGAATATAATTGAATTTTATATGCTGGCCTACAAAACTGAGCACTTACATCACTCTGTAACGCAGCAATGATTTCTGGGATCCCGGCTGAATCGATTTTTTGAATCTGCATTTCGTTAGCAATATTGAATGTTTGCACGAGGGAGATTGAGATGTTGGAGATGGTGATTGGAAGTAGAAAATAATTTCACCGTCCGTCAATCGCACCTCCCTATTTGAGTTACAACGCGTGGACCTTCGTCAAGGTCAAAACCACAATAAATATATCACCTCTCTATTGTTGTGTCCACAGCTAGGACCTGATTCGATCCACAACTGGAAACCTTGCATTTTGCAAAGCGGGTCAGCGCGAGGATCTGTGGAAGCACTCAGTCCCAAGTCGACGGCTTCTGTTAACTCCTTTTATGTACACTGCGACAACTGAAAGTCGTAGAAGTTAGAACAGACTTGTCGAGCTGTGGCTTTATTTACCTTCCTTACTGTAATAAAGCAGCACAAACCGTATTCCCTTGTTCCTATTGAGCAACAGCCCATGTACATTTCACTGCCTGTCGAACACATCGGAAGGCAACTTCCAACCCATGCTCAGGTTGACTACTCCTTGCAGGGTGCGAAACCGTCGCTTTATCCGACATCTCAAAGTCTTCTTGTGGTATTTCGAATACTGGAAGGTGTGAGTGAACACTATATACTGCCTCACGAAATTTTGGACTTTCTCGCCTTCAAGGTTCTCTACGATGCGAGAAGGCGTCACGCTCTTATGCAGGACGATCGCCTATCGAGGTTTGAAAAGGTGAGTTACAACATATCGATGCAGAAATTTCGACATACACCGCGCTGGACGCTCCGGGAGACAATATCCTGAGCAGGGGTGATCCCAAATTTGCATGTGATGGGAGGAACCCGCAAACGCATCTTGCATACAACGTGACAGTCCTTGGTTGATTTTCTAAGCACGTGACGAGCGCGTCGCGATCGAGTTTGTTTATCGCGCGCACAAACCTTAATATTCCAGGGTATAAATACAGCGTGCCCTCGCATATCAATCTCAGTTCAGCGATTCGCCTCGTCTACGCGTACCAGCATATTCTTGTCATCTTCATCCTTCTCAATCAGATATCTGCTATTATGATCTCTACCGCCATGTCCATTACGGCACGCGTCGCCATCACTGGCTTTCTTACGGTATCTTGTTTTAAACGGACTATCGTTGACAATACTGTTCAAGTTCTGTACAAATCAGAGAAGGTTTCTGCTGGCCTCTTTGCATACTCTGTCTGCTTGTCAACCATCACGCTTGTTCTCGCCGCCGACGCAGCTGCTCAGAGGTTACTCAGCAACGACAGCAACCATTTACCTGCTCCGAAGGATAGCGACTCCGGTTCTAATCCTCCATTCGCTAATGCCAACACCTCCGCTACGCCTACTAGTAAGCCTGTTGGACTACATTATTTGCAGCCACCTCCGTCTCCACCTCCATCGCGTTTAATCGAATCACAGCCATCTCCAGCTCCATCATCATCGCGTTTAATCGAACTACAGCCATATCCGTTCCCATCCCCACCGCCTTTAATCGAATCACACCCATCTCCATCTCAATCTCCGTCTTCTTCGCATGTAATCGAATCAACGGAGATAATACTATCCGCTCCAATCACCTGTTGTACTTGTATGTCTTGCATCATTCTTGCTTCGTCGAACCTCTACTCCAAACGCCTGTCTATTGATTCCAACATCACACTCCTACCCTACGACGACGACTTCAATACCGATATCCTCTCGGACGATGCCTCGGACACTGACGACTGTGAGTCGTTTGATGACGAAAGCACTGTCTACGACTCGGAGGTAAGACGCAGCGTAGCCTCAATTTCCACATAACCTGACGTTTGAGTTTCTAGGACGATCGTTCTGAACCTCAGCCACTCGACATCCTAATTTCACTAATGAACACTCTCACTCTCGATGACCCGCCTCGCCCATCCAAGCTTCGACCACTCATTCTAGTCACCAACCGCAACACGATAACTATTATTCCGTATCCTCCGCTCCCTGAACCCGCATATCCTGTGGGCGCATCGACCCGACGTATTCAGGCGCGCCCTCTCTCCGATAGTCGACCAAGCGATCCTGGTGTCTCTCTTCCTGGATGCCCCATAGACGCCTTTACTCGAAGTATGGAGGCTGCTCTCTCTCTGACCGCCCGTCTTCCACCTCAAAGCTGAGGCCTCTCATTCTGGTTACGAAGCGTGCAGCTGGTCGACTCCAGCCTCTCGCTCCTACTAGCACTCTGCTTCAACAGCCTACAACCAAATTGACAACGCGGACCCAGACATATTGGCCTTATTCACTGTCCCCTACGACCTGGAGCCCACTACCCCAAGTTTTTAAGGCCGCCTCCACGCTCGCATACAACGTACACACACCATGTCTCCGACGTCAGCCTGAGGTCCCCTACGACCAATCCGGACAACGGCCTCCTTCTGTCCCCTACGACCTGGAGCTTCACCGCCCATGAAGTCGAAGGCCACTACCAGTCTACGCACACACCATGTCGCGCATCTTCGACGCCAGAGGTCCCCTACGACCCAATCTCGACGACACACCACTCGGCCTTCTTCACTATCCCATACTAGACGACATTCTATGGCCACCCCCACGGTCACGCACACATCTATCGGAGCAAGCCAATTTTCGTTTCTCTACTACCTCTTCGATCTGTATTTCCCTTCAAGTACGACTCATGGACTCATCTCTAGCATGTATGTTTCATTATTTTCGTTCCTTTCTCTACGTCATCGATTTTCTCTCTCTCCTTTACTGGTACGAGACAGACCATGGACTCATTCACTCTCATCACGGACTTCTCTGGCATGCATTTTTATTCCTTTCATTTCCTCCTCGATATAATGACCTTCGATTTGTTTTCTCCTTTCCTGATACCGGGACTCATTTTCATTGTGGATTCATCTCTGGCGTGTACGTTCATCCTCTACATCATCTTCTTCGTTTTTTTCTCGACTGGCATGAGATAGCATCGGACTCATCCAGTTTCATCCCGAACTTATCTCTCTGGTACATATCTTTCATTTTTTCTTTCATTTTTTATCTACACAGTGGCCTTCTTCGATTTGTTTCCCATTTTCTCATACACGGACAACAGACTTAATTATGGACTCCCGCGATGTATATCTATTTCATTGATCTTGTTATATTATACTTTATTTTGTACATGTCTGAGGACGAATATAGAGGGCTTCAAATACAATTTCTTCCGCATGAACGTTGCCATTAATTAAACCATGGGGTAGTCGATCAGTACCTTTAATTGTCGGAGCTGCTCACGCTGAAATATCAACCTAGGGAAGCAACAACATCTGTTATCAGTAATAATGAAGCAATATCCAAGCCTTTGATCACTGTAGAAGGTCAGCTTCTTTGACGATAGCTGAAAAATCCCGAATCCATATTGCGGCCGTCAGAGTAGCCAATTTCCCATCCGCAGAAAATGATGTCTATTTCGCGTGCCGAATCTCCATGGTGGAGGGGTGGTTTGATGAGCTGATTCGCTCAGAGGTTGCGCTGTCTCTTCGTTTGATGTGAAGGGGAAAATGAAATGACGTCGAAAAATCCTTCGATGACCTAACTTGATCGCTCCTTTCCGTGTCGTCTGATATCATACTAAGGGCCGAACCTCTCTTTGGTGCGGATGCCGATGAAAGAAGCTTGAAAAAAAGAAGCACAGCTACTCATTGCAGTAACGCGCGCCGTCATCGAATTCGACGATCAAAGACTCGCCATCGGACATGGGACACACATGTGTCAAGCAGAGCAGTTCGCCAAGGAGAGAAACACAGGCATCCGTGAGGATCCCAGCATTCACAGATTAGCGCTACGCTTAATATAAAAGTATTACACCATGATGACTTCAAGGTTGCGACCTCCCAAGGTACCCAGTGAGCGCTGAAATTGACTAGTGCAATGGCAACAATGCTATTCCACGATGTTTTCTACCCACTTCGCGATTCTCAGCTAAGGACGCCATCCCAAGTCACTAAAGCAGCAGCAGCAAATAATATTAATAGCCCGATTATCAACAACCAGCTTGGAAGCGTTGCGCTACTAGTTCTAGCACAGCCGTATGAAATGACAGCAGTCCACTGCAAGTTTCCATGCTTCCAAGTCAACCAATAGATCATGTGTCTGAATCGTCCAGACGTGCCCCATTGAAGTAGCATGTAGCACGAGACGAGAACGAGAGAGAGGAATGCTCTCCCCAGGGAATGAGGCTTCGCCAAAGGTGGGAGAAGTCTTTGAAGAGCCAATTTGACTGGGGGAATTAAATAAATTCAAACCTATACGATGGTAAGGTGTGTTACAAGACGACGACTCTTACAAGTAATCGAAGGGTGTACTGATTACTAGCAGGATTATGTGACTCTAGTATGAGTAACAAAGATGACCTGCGGGATGGATAATGAGCATCGAGTTCATGGAAAGGAGGCAACGAAAAAATCAGTGGTGCAAATATTTGGCTGTATGCTCTACCGTTCGTCAATGCTTAAAGCTACGACTGGGGCGGCAAGCGAAATCATCATGAAAAAAGCCTAGAATTTTCACCCACCATTACTTGAACTTCGGCCCACGTCCTAATAAACGAAGGCCTCCTAATCGAATCGGCTCCACGACTGTCCGAGAGAACATCGGAGAAAGATATAACGAAAGTCCAATACGGATGGGTAAAAGTGCCTGAACAGATATTAGTCACTAGCCGAATTGCTTTGTGGTTTTAAAAAAAAATTACCTTGACTGCACCGTAAGCCAAGACGGCATTTGCGACGTCTCCAGCTAGTTTCGAACCACCCAACTGGCTCGTCCGACTTTGATCGACAAATTGGCCTTTCTCAAAGCCTAAGATGCCATATCTGCATCCAATGCGACCAGCCCATTGCTCGCCTTCATCGACCCACAATCTCAGCTTGGTGTTTACCCAAGACTGGTCATCGGTAGAGCTATCTTGGCTGAGGGCAATAGCATTGACGACGCGCTCGCCTGCGCCTACGCTGCGTGCCGTGTAAAAAATGCCCACAATAGGAACGATGGCAGTTAGTTCGTGAAGGATGGCGAAAGAGACTATGAGAGAAGGTAGCGGTGCTCCCGTTCTTCCAGAAATTGCGGTAAGAGCATTTCTGTAAGGTGCAAATCGTCCTCCAGAGTTCGACATGCAAAAATTTATAGGCAGGGATGTGGCTTAGATAATAATGCCGGTTACGTGTCGAGTGGCTATGCAGCTAGGCGACCAATAACATTTCGTCGTCATGTAAACCATCCTGGCTGGCATGATTCATGTGCACCAGGTCCATATGCGACCGTCAATATCCTGTCAAATGGAGAAGTACAAGCTTCAAGAGCATTCTAAGTCAAAGAACGATCCCTCCCTGTCTAGGACTCTCAGCGGTTGCGCTGTCACATCCACACGTCCAGACCGTTCGCAGGCAGGATGGTCGTTGTAGTCGTGGGGTAGAGTGCAAATTTGGGCGGATGAATGAACTTTAATTGGTTCATACACGCAGGTATGTGCGATAATCGATTCATCGGTTGAGAGGTGCTGTTACATCGAGGGTAGACTTTGATGACCAGGCTAGTCGATTTGTTTTCTGGGGCCGCATCCTACTCCCGCGTCGGCGAACCTCGTTTAATCGCAGAAGAGGTCACCAACTCGAATGTTCCAGATGCAAGGTCGATGTCCGAGTGACATCACAGCCAACATATGTATCTCCATCGTCTCCTGTCACCACTCCGTTTAGAGATCGCACAATGTCTAAGACATGACAGGTTCGACCCTTGGATTTTGTGCAACGAACGTTTTTTCGAACAGGTCCTTAGCCAAGTCGTGAACGATTAATGGAGCTCCGTGCAAGGGAGGTCAAATCTATCGATCTTGAGAATCCAAACACAGATATGCTGGGGGAGTGCGCAGCGGTCTTCTTGAAGTCGACGCAGAGTCTTAATTTTGCTCAAGCCAGGTCAATGGCAGGAGAAACAGAGAAATCAAGCTGCCTTTGCGAAGAAACATTCCGATCGATGCCGGTAACATGAACTTTCGCGGATACCCTGTTCTTGCCACAGTATCATCATCAAACCCTTGAGGAGCGCTCCGTCTATTCCGGGGACTTTCGGCGCCTGAACAACCTGGTGGCAAGCTCCCGGCCTTCAAACATTGTTCCCGTCACTCCGCAGCAAGACTTCTATTCTCTTGCGACTCGTTGAAGACCTGGTGACTCGATCTTTTTGGAGAACCTTGGCTGCGTGTATTTGGCGAGTTGGGTCACCGAGTTAGAACTGGGACGGGCGCCGGCGTGCGTTGATGGGGTATGTTTACTTGCGGTTTGCTCCCGGTGCCATGCACAATTATACTCAAATCATACTCGTCCATCATTGATGCATATTTGCATCTTCTCTTACCGTCCAAATCGCACACCGACATCTGTTTCTTGCGTGCATCTGTTCCCTGGACCACCGCCACCGCCACAGGTTCCAGTTGATGACATGGCGCAGTGCGATAGACTGAAGGTGAATGCTAGCTGACGCTTCACACCGGTTTCTTTCTTTGCCGAGGATGAGCGCCGTGTAAAGTCTTAGACATCACTAGTAGCGAGTTTGATGGCTTGTAGGCAATAATGAAATAATTCCTTCCTCACGCACACCATGGGGCACAAGCTAATACTGTCATGACACAGAAATTTGAGCCACCATGTATTCTGATTTCTGTCAGTCGTACCGGACGGCAGTAAGTAGGTTCGCCGGTATGGACAGTGACATATTTATAGAAATTGGGAAGTGGGGTTGGGCCTTGGGCGCACCCAACGCCATCGTTTGTTGTCTTGTGGGAACTTGTGATGCCCCGAACAACATCAAATCCGATAGAGCAACACGGTGAATAAGATGGTGGTCTCTAAGCAGACCGAAGACAGTCTTCCGAGTCATTGAAGTAGAATTCACTTAACTGAGACAGATTTCATGGACATTCTCGCGTCGGCGAAGCAACGATTTTCCAACCAGACCACCACCACAAGGAACCTGTCGATCGACAGCTGAAGGAGGTATCAGAGACGGACTCGAAACTGCTGATGTTGAGGGGCGCTGTTGATAGCCTTCCAGTTGCATAAAGGTTCAAGGTGTACCTCGCCATGGTAATGATAATTGTCCTTATCTGGGAGAATGCGTTGATATCATGCGACAAGATAGCCCAGTCAAGTATGTATCGCCTGGCAACTGATCGAGTTTGGGCACTTGGGACTCGGGCATATCGTACAGGTCAAGGAGCCGGCGTGGGTGATGTTCCGTCGGAATGGGCCCCAACGATCAAGATTTTCGTTAAAGATCTTGGCGCTTGGCTGATCCATTCGCAAGCTCGACTTACACGATGATTACCGGCATGATGACTGGATTCCGCTAGACCCGGTGGTATGATTGAATTCACAGGCGATGAACCTGATTACCGCCGAGCTGCTTATCGATATCGTACAGAAGATATGGAGGACGTAAGGGTGGATCGGAACTCCAGGATGCCCCCGCAGCCAGCGATTCGGAGATGAAAGATAAGCTTGAAAGATTCATCGCCGCTGAAGAAAGCGTGCTCTAGTGCAACCAATGTTAGTGACACAAGTTCTAGTAGGTTCTGGTGGGGCTATTTGGCGTGATTAGGATTGCCATCAGAAGTATAAGTTAGCTTATCAGGGGGTGTAACTCGAAGGTAGACGCGGGAGCCGGGAATCCGGCCCCCGGCCCAGGGTGTTGGTAAGGGTGATAAAGCCCAAGACACGCTTGATGAGCCCTGCGCGCAATCGAGATTCTGGGTCATCTTGATCTGGAATGTACCACAACACTCAGCCTTTAGTTAATCATGAGAGTCATATATTGCCCTACACAGCCAATGCACAAATGCGCGGCGTAAGTACGCAAAATGAATGGCGAAGTGTCAGGAGCCTACTGAACTTAACTCAGGCACTCCTTAATCCAGTCCGATCTCTCCATTGCTGATATTTTTTGATCACATCTGGCGTAATTTGCTTTTGTATGGCACGTGCGGCTGCGACAAAGGCGTTTTGTGGGATCTGTAAGACTTGTAAGGAAATTTCACAAAACCAGGGCTATGAAAAACTCACGAATGAGGCGTTGATATCTTTTTGCATGGTCAGTAGAGCAGCCTCTTGACACAGTGAGCTGATTTCTGCGCCGCTACAACCGTCGGTCTGAATGCAATGTTACACTATGCTCAGATGAAACATGAACTGTACTCGCCATGACTGCTATTGCATGAAGATCCAAGCCAGGCTCCACACTCATTTTTCTTGTCCTGATCCTCAAGATTTCTTCGCGTCCGTCATGGTCGGGAGGTCCAACATACAAAATGCGATCTAGTCGTCCGGGACGCATCAAAGCTGAGTCCTAAAGATGCGTCGTGAGATTAATATAACAACGATAGTTAGAGCACATAGTCTCACAATGACATCGGGGCGATTTGTAGCTGCAATGATGGTCACTCCCACAAGCTCCTGAACACCATCCATTTCGTTCAGGAGGCTGGTCAGAACCCCCTCATGCGACGACGCATTTCCACTGTCAGAATCTGAGGAGCGTGATGTTCCAAGGGCATCAATTTCATCCTGGTGTTTGTCAGCGACAACTTCTTCACAGTAAGACGGCGCTCACGAAAAAAATTATCGACGGTGACGCAGCTCTAGCCTTACTGAATATATCTCGCACGGCTCTTTCCGACTCTCCAACATATTTGTTGAGAAGCTACTTGGCAACAGCATATCATGAGTGTGTTGCATGAACATAAAACTAAAATTCGTACCTCGGGACCTTTCACAGCAACAAAGTTAACCCCGCTTTCCGTCGCACAGGCTCGTGCCAGAACAGTTTTACTGCACCCTGGAGGTCCAAACAATAGTAGGCCCTTTGGTGGTCGGACACCCAGTCGCTGGAAAGCCTCTGGGTGCAATAACGGCCACTCGACGGCTTCCCGAAGTTTTTGTATGATATGGGCTTGCCCACCTATATCTTCAAACCGAACGGGCGGTGTGTCAATAAATAGGGAACGCATTGCGGACGGCCGCACGGTAGGAAGCGCATCTGAAAGGTCCGATGGCGTCAATTTCAGGGTCATTGTGGCAGCTGCTGGGTCAGGATGGCATCCCGGTGGAATGGGGGATATCCATCGTTTGATGGCAAGGGTCCCAGCTTCCCGAACTACAGCACTGAGGTCCGCACCGACATATCCATGAGCGCGACTCGCAATAGAACGGAGTTCTGCATCTGTTATACAATGGGGGGTTTTGGAGAGGAGGACGTTCAGAATTGAGTAGCGTGCGTCAGTGTCTGGTATGCCTGAGAATAAAAGTCGTCGGTTAAAGTGCGGTATAACTTTCAAGGTTAGCGCTCACCTATCTCAAATTCTCGATCGAATCTCCCAGGTCTTCGTAGCGCCGGGTCGATGGCGTTCGGCCGATTGGTTGTGCCGATGACAACGACTTTATCCTCATAAGTCGTGCTGGAGTTGTCTATACCATCCAGTATTGTCAAAAGTGTTGCCACCACCCGTTTCTCAACCTCGCCACCTGCGCCCTCTTCCCGTCTTGGGACAAGAGCATCAACCTCATCCAAGATGACGATACATGGGCTCTTGGCTCGGGCTTCTTTGAATACGTCGCGCAGTTTTGATTCTGTTTCTCCGTGATAGGCTGAAGATAACTCAGGGCCATTGATGACAAGCACCGATGAGTTAGTGGATGAGGCAATAGCACGTGCAAGGTGCGTTTTTCCTGTACCAGGCGGACCATGCAACAATATGCCCCGGGGCGGTTTAAGCCCTGAGTAAAATAGGTATTGTCAAAGCTTGTCTGCGGGAGCGTTTGGTCATGCCTACCGAAGTACCCAAAGAGCTCTGGTCTTGTGAGCGGTATCTCAAGAAGATCCCGGATCTGGGTGATTGTTTTGTCAAGTCCTCCGACAGCCGCGTATGCATCAGAAATTGATGTATGAGGTAGCGTTTCGATGTCAGACTAGGTAGTCATCCGTGAGTGTCATCATAAATATTTCTCAGAGGATGTCAGAAAATGCACCTTTTGCGTGAGGTTAACACCATTATCGGCCACATCTTCCAGTACGGAAACAATCGTATCCCACCCTGCTGTCCAAAATGATGGCCTAACCTGAATCGCAAGCGAGTTAAGGTCACGTGTTACGGTGTTCACGGAACCACTTGATGCCGAGCGGTGGGCTGACACAGATTCAATGGAGAATGTTCGAATCTCGCCTTGATATGGTACTTCAAGAATCTGAGTAGATAGAATATATTTGAGATTGACTATAAAGAAATTCCGGGCGTTGACAGAACGGCACTGTCAGCACCATTCTACGCCACACCACCTAGAACTGACGTACTAAGGTATTCTCGTAGTAGAAGAGTGAGCCAATCTCTATGCTTTCCTTTGCCTTTTAAACTGGCCGCATTTCGCGTTGTGGGTGTTTTTATGGAGATTTCTCTGAGACAGATGGCGCCAGCCTCCTCCGCATCTCGCAGGGTTGGTAAACCGAGAGGGGGTCTGCCAATGCCTTGATCAGATACATCGAATAGCTGTACCTTTGTGCCTTCCTCGAGGCGTGCTGTAAGGAAAAGCGAGGACGAAATAAAAACGGCTAGAAGTAAGGCGATGTATCCGCAAAGTCAAACTTAGCCAAGGACCTTCTTGTCATCCGATATCGTACATACCATCCTGCGGAACATCCAGAGAAGGCCACAATGTCCCGATTGCAAAATCCCGCTATCAAAGATAATTTGACGGAATCCAAGGTGCGATAGAATGATAGAACGAGCTGTAAGAGACGCTGACATACACGATATGATTCTCACCTTCTTGGTGTTTCCATCACCTGCCTTTGATAAGGCGACTACATTGCCGGAGCGCAATTGCGAGGCTTTCAGTGTACTTGCGTGCACAAGAACGCGTCGGATTGCGCGTATATCTGTTCCACCGGCAGCAGGCTCATTGCGCCGAACTGTCAACTTAGACGTCGACATGGCGAACTAACAGCTCAGGGTTTTCGAGGCCAAGCTCTCTGCAGTGAGGTTGGGAGACATGATCTAAATGAGTATGACAAATCAATTCAAAACAACAAGCAAACAAGACATCATTCATGTACATATTGTGTAAATTAAATTATCCGCAAATGTTGCACAAATGTCATATTTCTACCCAAAGACATCTTCCTTGAATATGTTATTTTCACAAGCACCTGAATAATAATAATAATCTTCCAGCACCCTATGATGAGTGCATGTAGGCTGTCGACGTGGTTTTAATATCAGTTAATATGGGTTAATGTAGGTTAATGTCCGCTTAGAAACAAGTCCTCGGGAAACCCCGATCCTTCTCCACAACACCGCACTTGAGAAAAGCAGTACAGATTGGCTCAGATAACTGCATCAGCGACCGATCTTTCGAGCAACCTACGGTGGGTGCAATTAATATAATTTGATGGGTTCAACTATAGTCCTTGCCGTGATGCGCCTAGCAGTCGGTTTTCACCTGCACTGATTGCTATCCTTCAAGAATCTTTGTTCTCATCATGTCACGAAACTACCGTGCCTCGATTGGACACACTGTCTTGGCTCAAAGTACAGGGTCGAGATGTTCGGATAATACTTCCCATTTCCGTTGATAGCAGTTCTCAAGAACAACGAGGTGTTGTCATTTCTTGTGGAGCCGCTATCCTAGTTTGTATCGAACAGCAGAATCATACCGAGATACGATGCACGAAACCGTGCAGCCTATCTTCGATTACTTGTCGCTCAAGGGACCCCGCACGGTATGTTTCAGCTCTTCGATTCGTAACGCATCGTTGGAAGATAAGTCGACAAAAGCAAACGATGATTAATGGTTTACGACAGTTGACACAGCATTGTACCTTCAGCAAGATAAAAGACCCTCAAGAAGCAAGCCCTTGTATATACTATGTGCTGCCATGAGGCACGAGCAAACATACTCCTGTTGATTGAAGTCAAAGGTGCTGTCGCGACTGCACATGCAATGTGTTCTTATTCTCTCAAATGCGCCATTTAGCAGACAGCTGCAATCGGATTTGTTCTCGGCGGCCTCGGAAACATCACAAATCCCATTGTACTTACTAGTATTAATCAGTGTCCGTTCTTGCGTGTGAGTACGTTGTCTAATGGGATCGACGTTCGACAACTTAAAACCAAGCTTTTGTCCCTCAGTAATTCCTGGAGTTCGCTAAATCTGGCGTGTTATGACGCAACAAATCCAAGGTGCAACTAGCATCACTGGATTCGATACTTATCGCACAAGCTATGGGTCATAAGGCGCGTTTGCGCCATTTCTGCTCATATCATAGTACTAGTATCGTATCTCACATCCGAGACTGCAATAGCATCAATCGTGATCGGCCTGACGATACCCGAAGTTAAGTAGCGTCATTTAACGTACTCGATATGTGCCCTTGTGTGCACCAAGCTACTTCGAAACACCAGCAGACCAACTGCTTTCAATTCTTCGGAATCTTGTTGATTGATTTCATTAGCAGCACGTTTAGCGCTAGTGGACATCACATCGTGCCCGTCCAAACCAAAATTGTCTATGGAGAAAAGAAGTATTACATTCATCATGGAACGTGTTCGTCATCCGGCGCCTAGTCCTTAGGAAGTTCGTTGATTCTATATATGTGAGTTAGGAACCAAGGGAGTGATGTGTTCGTCGATACAGCTAGGGATACGCCGAACAACTAATAATAAGACAATCGAATGATCGATTGCAAGTAGATCGTAAGAGATTTGTTTCCGCTCGTGCAGCCTGGGCCGTCACTCCAATGATGAAATTTCAGGTGTTGGTAACCTTTCAAGCGGTCCACATGTACTGCCTTGGATCGTGTCACATAAAACAACATACTTGCGTTCAGTGTATTGTGGCGTAAGGCAGTACTTGCCGCAACAGTCACATTATTTAATCTGCCGCCGCCCAGGAACTGCGTGGGACCTGGGATGGCGATCCCTTATGCCTTACTTCGCCGGCATGTTCCCAAGTAGTGATACTGCCAACAAACGCTAGCATGATCACGAATATACGCCAAACCGCACTTGGTTGATGTGAATCTTATCCTTCTATTGCGCTTCGGATGTCAGCTTGCTGAGCGTCCCGGCGAGTGACAGGAACATTTGCCAAATCAGATGTGCATCCCTGGCGAGGTACCCGATTTGCTTCTGTACCCATGGTAAATAAACAGTTTTTCATCGAAGCCAACTGAAGACATGTACACTCATTAGTTATGCGCATGTGAGGGTAAGCTCTGGAATACTTCTGATAAAGAATTATCATGCGCAGCCACATGACAACCTCGTCCGAATCAAGCCCATATGAAACAAGAACCAAGGAATCCTAGAAAGAACATCGCACATCATCCCTCCGACCCATCACACCAAAAACCACGATATACAGCATGGGATGCTGGCATGTGGAGATCTTGCTGACAGTCATCATACATTTACAAACCCTACTAGAACCTTTATGGGCTATTTATGCAGTTCCTCTCTTTCTTGGTATTCCGACCTCGGGAACGTATAAAACCGGGCGGCTTCAGCAGTAGAAAGACTACATCCAGTACCCATCGACATTAGTACACTCTCGTCTCGTTGTATCCCAACCATCCACCAGTCCATCTAACGACCATGTGCAAACAAGTAGCGTGAGTCACAGATCATATCTGCAGAACCGCTCGCTCACAACCCTGCGCAGTGAAGGGACGCGCTGGCTAAGATGTGGGGTATGAAGACGATGTCTTGGTTTGGACAGATTTTAATGACAGCCAAAGCACTTTCAAAGGCATCTCGTTATTGCCATCGTAGATTGTAATTCCGCTCGCTGCGAGCGCAGTTACAAACACCCGCCAAACTGTCGGCAACCAAACTGTACCAAAGTAGGTCATGTATAACAACACACCATGCCCATAGTTGATACCTTCCAAGAACTTCGGACCCGAAATCCAGCGCTCGATCGACGATGTCGACGAGATTTGTCTACAGTGTCGTACAGCAATGGCTCGCAGGCGTGGTTGATAGGGTTCTGAGTAGCATCCGTCTTTAGAGGGCGGGCAAAACATCTTTCCCCACATTGATACTCTCACATTATTCGTGTTAGCATTACATTGCACCATACTTGTAACATATGCATTTCGTACCTTCCGCTCGGGATCAAAATCTCCGCACCCGAAGGCATTCGGTTTAGACACCACTATAGTCCGTATACAGAAGAAGTAGGTGAGAGCCAGAACGATGGCAACCCACCAAAAGAAGCCACAAGCGAAGGCCCCATGACTGGAAGAAGGCACAGCTCCTGCGTCACCGTGAGCGTGCCGTTATCGTGATAAAAAAGGACGGTAGCGGTCGTCCCGCAAACCCATGCGAACAAGGCAGGCTTCAATCGGCAACTGTGCCTCGACTTCTAGGTAGTTATCTTGCTCACAATCGATTTGACGTGCTCCAACGAGCATTAACAGCAACAACATTCCAGCATCTCGGCGTGCCTCTAGAATAATCTGCAGAACCACCAACAAGCTATGATAGGCATATGCTTGTTCCTCGACGAGCGACCAATCGCCGCATTCATCTTGTGTACATCAAATTGTTCAGACCCATCGACAACTACTGACCCATCGAGAATCACCTTGAGATGAGATACCAGGGAAATTGCTGAAGCAAGGCAAGCGCGTGTTATGGAGTCGAAAGAAGCTCACGTTGACCGCAGGAAGACTGTCAATAGAAACACGACTGAAACTCATGGTGAAGGCAGACAACGTGCCGTCAATTTTAGATCGCAAGGAATATCTGTACCTTTTGTCAAAGTATCAACAAACCTCCGCTGGATTCGCGGCGCCCAAGGCGTTGTATTTGATGGGGATTCACTTTTCCACCAAGGCACACAAATAACAAGGATAATGTGATTATCCCCTTAGCGCTGAGACTACTAGAAAGTTGAGGAGATATTCTGAATATAGTCGACTACTTGTTCTACTCACCAGCGGTACCTTTCACAACACCAATGCGTTAAATATGGTCAGGTCCACACAGAGGGTGTACTGTTTACTCGATGCGCATTGAGAAAAATGATGGTCTATTTCCTGTGCATACAGCAAGTTCTGTGGCAATATCCCCTTACTTCCATGCACGCGATTAGTGGGCGTGGTTCTTGTGATGTTCTGATACGCGTTTAACGAGGAATATATTGAAGTCATTAATGGTAACTTACTCAGATGCACTGAATAAATACAAATAAATCAAAGATTGAACGGGTGCAGGCACAAATTACTCACTCTGGTAGTCGATGGTGTATCCGAAAGTGAAGAGACCCAAGATCGTCCAAACGAGTGGGGCGGCGGACGCGTTCTTGCCGTTGAAGAATCTAGCCTTAATCCCACCACCAGAAACAGCAGATGCTGGACCCTTGGGCAGTTTTGAGTAGAAGTTGACCAGAGGCGTGAGGCTTGAACCGGAGCCCGACGTCTGAATTGCGAATAAACGGAGAAGAGGTCACACGAGGTGGGGCGGTGTTAGAAAAAAATAACGCACCAAAAGTGACGGAGTAGCAATCTTGGGAGGAACGATACCCCCCAATTGACGACGAATGAGCGATGCGTGCATGGCGAGAATGAGTTGTCAATGTGTCGGGGTGGCCCGGACAAACTTGGTTTTCATGTTGGAGTCTATTTGGTTGTCAACGATCACATGACTTGAAGTCCACTCGCGGAGGCTTTGAACGTTTGAACCGTTTTGCATTTGACGTTTCTTGCACATACCCTATAGAATCTGAAGCCGAATATACGCCACCAGCGTGAATCCTCGCGGTGGCTCTGATATTGGAACCGTACAGTCTAGACGAACTCGTGTTCAGCACTTACACGTGGGTGTGGACGGCGGACACAACACAATAGGTTTACAGACAAGTCCGCTTTGGATGCGAGCATTTAGGTTCGCCTGGGTCATCCACAGCCTCTTCACATAATAGACCACGGATCCAACCAAGTTCGTCATCTATTCCGACATACCCACCCTTGACTTGGCAAATTCTTCGTCATGTACAGCGATTCTTCACCATTGCTATCTATCACATCCGCGCACCTGCTGTCTGGACTCTTCGCCTGTATCTACGTTGGCTCCATATATGCATCCAAGAGTGCTCGTCTTCGCTTCTCCAACAGGAAGGTCAACCTTCCAGAAGGACAGGCTAGGCTCAAATTACAAAATGAGCGATGGAGAGATGATCCGGACGTTATCAAGGCGCGATTACTTGCCGTTACTAGCGCCACAGCGATTTGTTGTCTCATCGTATTCATCGTGATGAAGAATGTCAACCGCGATGATGAAATTGTAGGTCATAAAGTTGCCTCAATGGGGAACGTCCGCCTCACTACCATGTACAAAACAGTACAACCTTACCGCAAATGCGTGGCTTCACCTTGGATTCACATGGTCAAACGTACTTCCGCTCGTAATAACCCCGTTGTTGTTTTCTGGGCCACTCTACGTCCAATTTCTCGAAAAGACTCTGCCATTTCAAGAGAACTGGGGTTTTGAAAAGCATGTCGTGTGTCGATTTCTCTCCATTGTCGGTCTTCGAAACTATTTTGTGGTGAGTGCGAGGCCTTTGCAAAGTATTGCTTGCTATTTAGCTTGTGTTGTTACAGGCTCCGATCACCGAAGAAATAGTGTTTCGCGCTTGTGTTCTCACCATCTATTACTTGGCAGGCGCCTCCAGGAAGAAAATGATTTTTCTCAGTCCTTTGGTCTTTGGCGCAGGTCTGTGTCGTAGCGATGTTTCTTTTTCGGCCATGAAAGTTCACCTTTATGTTCTCCAACTTTTCAGCACACATACATCACGCTTTCGAAACATACCACAGATACGGCCGTACGCCCACTGCGGCAAAACGTGCAATTATTTCTACTAGTACGTACGGCCATCCCATTTCCAACGAGTGGCACTAACAACTTACATATAGTTATTCAATTCTCGTACACCAGCGTGTTCGGGTTTTACTGCTGCTATTTATTCCTTCGCTCCGGGTCATTGCTCCCACCAATTGCAGCCCATATGTTCTGCAACATCATGGGAATACCTCAACCAAACTATGAAATCAGCCTAATGCCGGATAGAAAGCTATGTGAGTAGCTGCTGTTATACTGTCTAATGCAAATTGATTGCATTCCTTTCTCTACTTGTAGCCATTTCAGCCGCGTATCTTTTCGGCATCATCGGCTTCGCGTACATGCTCAAGCCTTGGTCATATACGAATAACTGTTTATACTGGCAGTGAAACTGATTTCCTCGAGCCTTTAACCTACCTACAACTACAACCTACTGGACTGGACATACTTTCTGCGGATCTTGGTCGGATTGAACTGTATCTATATCGATGATCACCATCTTGTCACCATCGGCGTTGTGTAACGCCCTTTCCATGAATCATCAGTCTTCGAATGTGAGCAAAATAAACGGCGTCGTGATTCTTTAAAACCCCATCGACAGAAGTTGGGCCGCGCAAGGACTTGTATTACTGACAAGCTACGTATTAATTGGTACCTCGGCCATGGGCCTCCAGTCTTCCGTAGGCAGACCCGATAGAAGGAAGGCAGTCGTTCTTCCCGGGAGGCTTTAAATACGAGATCCGATTCGGAGGGTGCGTGTTAGCACTACTAGTAAGTGACTATCATATCGGCATACTAGTGGTCTAAGACGTGAAACAGCCCGATAACTTCGTGGCCTGAATTTGCAACTGCCTCCTCGACATTGAATAATAGATTGATTTCCTCGCTGTTCGCTATTACCTTCATTTAAAAATGAAAGGCAACCACTAGGTTTCTAAAGGTATGTGGTTGCCACACTCAGGTTGCGATCTGTTGCCTCGCGCGCGGAATCGAGTTCTTTATGCATCATGTGCAGTTACAAGTTTACAACCACACCTTTGTTAGCGGTTACCGGTATACTGATTGAGCAAGAACCTTCGCTGGTCAATGACCTTGAGCTTGATTTCCTGAACAACATAGTATTTCTTGCAAGTCGTTCAATGTCAAGAAAGAATCTAAAGTTGTAGGCGCCAGTAGCGCGCGCACCGACCTTTATGGGAAATGCCGCCGGTATCAACACTTCTGCAAACAACCTTGAATTATCGGCTGCCACTGGCCATTCGTTACGGCCTTGCCGTCTTACCAATATCTTACGCCGCTCTACATGCCGCACAAGCGTGCCAAACGAGCTGTTCGTGAACGAGAGAAATCCCTGAAGTAAGTGTTGGTATCACACATCACTTCGGCTTACTGATGAGTCTCAAATAGAGGTGTCAACCTGCCACCAAAGCACCTTGGGAATGAGGATACGGTGCCAAAGTCTGTGTCTCGCATTCTAAATGCCGAAAAAATTCGTCACGAATTCAGAGAGAAGAAGCGGAAAATCGATGAGCCCAACGGCGATGGAAGCCCTCAACCAAAACGAAGGCGGCCGACTAGCGATGTGAACAGTCGGAAGGAGGAGATGCTAAAGATTAAGCCCGGAGAAACTATAGCTCATTTTAACAAGTGGGTTCCAGAAAAAAATTGTGGCGTGTCACCATTAAGCTTGCGTGCAGGCGAGTCGAGAGTAGCATGATGCCGCTCATTAGAACAGCGATGCAGCAGTCATCAGCACAGGTCCGCAGAGTCCAGAAGCATGAAATTGAGCAGGGAGTTGCCAAATCTGCCCCTGCACAGGTCAAGACGATTATTAAAAAAGCTAGCCGCGCAGACGTTTCAAATTCATTGACGCCCACATCGACCAATACGCCCCCTAGCCATGCAGATGTTGCGAATATATCGCCACTTACATCGACCAACACACCCCAGCGGCAGCCTCGTGATAAACCTAAAGAGTTTCGTGTATCTTCAACTTCAGCACCGCGCCGTCTAAACGATATTGCACAAGAGCCACCACGGTTTGGTAAACTGCCTCGGGGTGCCCAATCAGGAAAAGACTCTTCGAAAGAGAAAGTCGCGGGGATACTGAGCATGGCACAAAAGGCAATGATGGAAGAAGAAAGAGAAAACGTCATCAAACGTTACCGGGAACTGAAAGCTAAGAAGTTGCGTAGTGATGGCAGCGGCGCAGTGGGCGGGTGAGGCTAAGTCGATCATAGTTCTCATCGACTACGTTTCCGATCTGGTGCAGCGATTTTGCCTGTCGTTGGTTGCTGTCTGCGTTGAGTGTCCCCTAACGTGGGTATGATCTCTACGTTGACATTCATTTTACAGTGTGCCTCCGAGGAGTGCGCGATCTCGCGTTCTCCATCATAAGGAGGTAATTCAATTTTGGTTTTACCGCAAATACGACGCGACTGCCCATTCAGTACCGCTCGCTTGAGCAATGATATAATAATCCTTCGGAATTCAAGTACCGCCTCATGACTCTCAAGGAAGTCTTTTGTCTTTACCCAGGGCGGCGGAGGATTAAATTTCCGAAGCCCTCGGATGACCTTATATGTCTCCCTCTCCGCCATAGACGGTCCCGCTTCATGACTTCCACCACCGCTTCAGATTAGGCGGCGGTTCGCCCTTGCGCTGAGAATGGGAATGGGAATTATCCATGCATCAGCCTATCTACTTCTGGATTGTATCGTCGTGGTGGACCCCAGGCAGGCGCTTGGTGGTATAACGGGCGTTCACCTGTTATCAAGGTATTGTGGCGCAGATGTCAAGCTCCGAGTAACCATTGATCAAGTTAGCAAATTGATTATCTTGATCTATCAATAATCTCTATTGTCCATGTGTGCTGGGCACTGGGCACTGATCAAGCACAAGTCGGCACTACGGCGAGTAGTGCCCATGAATTACGGCCCCCAGCCATCATTCAACTCAGCCGCGATGCCTACGTGCGATCACGTTCCGCGCTGAAGGCCGAAATTACGAGCTTCCTTACCGGTATATTCGGGGAGCCCACAAAAGCGGTGATTTGCGCGCTAGAAGTATCTCATATATAATGCGGACACGACCAGTTGCCTGTGGTTGCCTACTGACTGCTCTCTTTCTGCCTATCTTACCTCGGTGCCTGTCTTGGTGGTAATCTGTACTCTCCATGGAGGACGTGGAGAAGCAAGCCAACTGTTCTTCGATTCGTGGACCGAGCATCGAGACGGGCACATATGAAGACCTCAATCGACACAGTGCTTTGCAACCTCCTAACGCGCTTTTACTGCCCTCGCACACGAAAAGATCAGATGGAGGGTGGTCTGGTTGTTTGGCTGTCTTCGGAGCATTCCTGGCCCTTTTCTGTTCGTTCGGTCAAATGAATGCTTTTGGAACATACCAGTCGTGGTATTCGGACCACCAGCTTGCTGGGCATTCGCAATTTAGTATCTCCTGGATTGGTTCCCTTCAGTTATGGACTTTTTTCTTCATGGTAAGCTATGTTGATTGTCGAAGTCGTTTTTGCTCAATACCACATGAGACTAGGGAGGACCTATAGGACGCCTTTTTGACGCATACGGGCCGTCGCCCGTGATGATCTTTGGGACACTGCTACTGGTTTTTAGCACATTGATGACGAGCATCTCTACGGAATATTATGAATTCTTATTGTTCCAAGGCTTCTTCTTTGGCCTTAGTGTTGCATCACTGTAAGTTCGCTGCTGCTCGCTGAGCGTCTTCTGATTTTATCCTACAGCTTCTATCCCTCATTAGCTGCAGTTTCGACTCACTTTGATAAGTACCGTGCATCGGCTCTCGGTGTTGCAGCCGCTGGCTCTGGTGTTGGTGAGCAGTCCACTTATATCTATTCGATCCGACTAAGTTTGTCTAGGCGGCGTCGTTTATCCCATCATGCTGCGCAAACTCTTCTTGTCCATTGGTTATGCGTGGGCTGTTAGAGCGTCGGCGCTACTTTCTGCAGCATGTTGTGTCGTGTCCCTTGTTACCGTAAGGAAAGTTGGTCATAAGAAATGCTCCGGATGGATAGATATCAAGATGTTCAAGGATTCATGCTTCATGCTGCTTGCTACTGGATCCTTTTTCATTTGCCTCGGTAAGAAACCGAAATCTTTTCATGGGGTTATAGCTGACAAGGGCGAAAAAGGAATATTTACTCCATTCTTCTACATCGTGAGCTATGCCGAGGATCGAGCATTCGTTTCTCAGAATACTGCATTTTACGTTCTGTCAGTAATGAATGCTGGGGGCGTATTCGGCCGCATTGTTCCCGCGATCCTCTCTGACAAGATGGGGCGATTCAACCTCCTTATGCCCACCTCCTTCTTAGCAGGCATATCTTGCCTCATCTTTTGGATGCTTGCGAAGACAATGATCGCTGTGATGGGCTTTGCGGCGGTGTATGGTTTTCTATCCGGTGCATTCATATCCGTCATTACCCCATGCGTCGCGCAGATATCAGATATCAGCGAGATAGGGTCTCGCATGGGGGCACTGTATACACTGATATCTGTCCCGTAAGATTGTGACCGGACTTGTTTGTTAAACATGTGCTCACTGTTGTTCTTTCAGCTCTCTTGTCGGTGGACCCATCGCAGGAGCTCTTATTCAATGCCAGAGAGGTTCTTACACCGGAATGATTGGACTATCAGGATCAAGCATTATATTTGGGTCCTTTTTTATTCTAGCTTGCAGGCTGAAGATAAACAAAAATATCTGCGTAAGAGTGTAGCGAGTCGTATGCGAACGCCTCACAGTGCACCCTCTATCCTTCCTTATTTTCTAAGTTTTACGACTGGAAACATTTCATTAATGATGGCTACAATTCTTGTGCTATGGTGGAATTATTGTATTTTTATCGTTGCGGGATGTACAAGCGCTATCATTTGTGACTGGCTGGCAGGGCCAGGGACTACTTATCCAATGAATTAGGATATTATGTTTGTGATTCACTGAAAAGTACTAATTAAGACTACGCGAGCCTACGCGAGCACGGTGCCTGTACGACGGTCACTTGAGCGCAGTGATCCAGAGGTTGATGCGACAATGGGTAAAATGGGTGTACATGTGATCATCGCGACTATTCGGTGGCCGTGTCTGATTTCAACCATACTTAAGTGGACACGGTCACAACCCCACTGGCATAAGCTCCTATAGTCAACAACTATGAACATCCAAAACCCAAGCGCAGAACGCGACTATATCCCTATTGCCGACCATGGCTTGTGCGTAGCTCCTTGATCAACGTCGTACCCGTGTTCTGATGTACTATGATGATCCTAGGATCGGGAATTTGAGGACTGCCGCGCTGGTGAGTTCGCCAGATTGTGCAATTCTGAGCCTATTTGTTGAATCCTGATGTCCGTGTAGGTCAGTCTTGATGGATCGAGTGAGTAGTTCTAGTTCAAGATGGTCTAGGATAAGGAGTATGCTGGGTTCGAGGTTGCATGGCTTGCACAGGCGCCGGAGTTCACTCGTCCGGAACTTCTTCAATTCCTCCACGCGAGTTTCATCTGATGCATATCCCACACAGTCGAGAGTTACTGTGTCCCAAATTTCGACTCCCCGTCCATCTTCGCACGCATCTTGGACAAAAACAAGGTTAGGGCTTTACACGCTCAGGGGGCTTCCCTGATTGATAACGGGGCTGCAGGGTGGTCATTTCTCCATTACACCGACGGTTCCATTCAGCACCAAGCACAACTACTTGCCGAGTTCAAACGTGTTACAGACCAAGTATGTTTATCACCTTATCCGTGTGCGAATCATGGCTGAACATAGATAGGTTTCTCAATGAGAAGGGCGTAGTTAGTGTCACCGGTCAGTCTCCTATGTCAATTGTACCATCAATTGCAGGATTTCATCGCATACATCCAGACTTCCTTCCCCGCCAAGAAAACAGCGATTCTAAACGTCCATTATTGTTTTGGCTCATTAGACGTGTCGAGGTGAGCTGATCAACTCTACAGCATCACACTCAGGCTTTCAATCATAACCTTTGCTTGTTAGGTGGTCCGTGGTACCGTCCCGCTGCGCGTCGAATGCGCTCCCGCATTCAACTATGCCCAGGACCCCCACGCCACCCAAATCGTCCCCGACGATACCGTCCCGCACCAATTTGCCAAACAGAACAAAGTCGTCTTCACTTCGAGGCCTGCCGCCTCGCCATATCTTGCGGCTGGTGCGAGCACGTCGCAAAACCCGCTCACGCTCGATTTACGATTCCTTTCCGAGTCCTTGCTTGACAATGTCCCTGCACCGGAGGTGACTTTGGAGACCCTGAATCTCAGTGCAAAGGGTCATCTGGGCTTGGCCGCACAGACGGAGTTGACACTTGTAGAGGGTCAGCGAGTGACGTTTGTGTTGCGGATTGCGCCTGAGCAAAAAGGAGATGGTAAGCCGGGTGTAGATGCAGAGCAGGCAGAGATGCTAGGAGTTGATTTTGCGAGTGAGCATTTCTAGTCATTGCGCATTTGATTGATGGTCATGGTAATTAGGGCTGATGACGGGTGCAAACAAGATGAGGCCAAAGGATGATCCGATTATGACCAGGGTACGTTTTCGGCGACTGTCAATCTTTGAGCTTGCCGACACTCCCTTTCTAGGAACTCCTCAACAATCTGTTTGTCGTACGTTTCATTGCTTGAATATCATTTTTTGCTGTTTTACCCGCTCATTTGTATTTGTAGTCTACCAATAATTTCTGGAACTCTTGGATCAGGAGATCCACCTACCAGGGTTCGTGGAAGGAGGCCGTGCACAGAAGTGCATTGGCGCTAAAGTTGCTCATCTTTGAACCCACTGGTACGTGTTACGTCTTATTCAGATGTCTAGTCTCTGTCTCATTGCTAACATTGCTTTTGCTCACTTCTGCGCATAGGGGCCATTGTCGCGAGTCCGACATTTAGCTTGCCCGAATACATTGGTGGGACTAGAAATTGGTGCGTTTGCCCTTCTTCACGTACTATAATTTCCTCGCTAACCTACGATATATAGGGACTACCGGTATGCACACATCCAGTATTCCCCATAATTCGGTGGTTTATGCTGTATCATTCATGCAGGGCCTCCTGGATTCGGGACTCTTCGTTCACACTATACGCTCTAATTAGACTCGGGTTCACGCAGGAGGCTAACGGCATGTTTCTCCGCTGCATGCTGCTCTCAGCCCGCGCTGACTCCGTTTACTAACAGCATATATGGAATTCATCTTTGAGCGGTTGAGGAATAAGAACCCAGATGGTTCTTTGCAGATCATGTGCGTCTCTGATCTCTCAGATGGCTTCGTAGGCTGACTGTACATGAAGGTATACGATCCATGGTATGTCTGACATGATGCAATCCACAAGGCCACTCTGATCATCCTTCTGCAGGTGGCAAAGATCTGGAGGAGAAAGAACTTCTCCACCTTGATGGACACAAAGACTCTAAACCTGTTCGGTTCGTCCGCCTACAATTTGCATAGTACTCGTGATGACCAATGCCAAAAGCATCGGCAATGGTGCAGCTGACCATGTCCAACTGGTACGCCTCGCTTGTAGTTGCAGGCTACTCACGGAAGCTGATCTAGCTGACAGGACATTTACGGCGAATTGTAAGTCCCACCCATGCTTCGTAGGCCGGTCAGCATTGATTCTGGTAAAGGATGGATTGTATTTACCTCGGACAGAAGGTGTGCTCCTAGGCCATTCCAACAAACGACAATCTAATATTATTTACTCTTAGTTCGGTAAACCATTGGTGAGTCTTGCCTAATACCCTTTGTAATATCAGTATCTCAATCACTTTGGCAGTCATATGACACATGGTGAGTACTGCGACCAGGCCATGGACGGTCATACTGACTAGATTACACTCGATGGAAGGGTATTGGTTCGGGAACTGTGAGTTATCCGGGTTGACTGTTACACACGGCTGCTAATCATGCTCTTACTCAGTGTAGACTGTACGTCTTCTATATCCTTTGTTTTGCCGCGCACAACCAATACTTTCTAGTCGTTGTTGCAAACTGCAAGAAACCCGACTTGTGCGCCTCACGCTATTTCTCCCAACTCGTTGATGACTCAACCCGAATTACAGATCCATATGGTCAGTACGCGTCAGGCAGGAATTTGTTAAGGCTAAGTGTCAATATGCATATCTCAGGGAAGTACGGGGCAAGGAGCGTCATTTCACGGTGTGTATTCTTAATGCTGTCTGGAAAGTTGGCGCTGATTCGTGCTTCTGTTGTCAGTATTCAAAGGTGAGTTTCAACAGTTAGACTGGACAATACTGAGATGGCATGTGGAAGATTATGCTTTGGTATGTCGTGTTGCCTTGAAATTGACACAGTAATGCTGATTGTATATACAGGGTTGCAATCGATAGAGGTGCGAGTCATGAACCGCTGACGCACTCACATATTAATGAACATGCCCTCGGACAGGCCTTCGGCTGGCGGACAAGCGTTCTCTTCCTTGTCCTCGCCGCCTGCAGTGGCTGGCCGCACGCGACGACCTCTACGAAGATATCATGCAAAATGCGTGGAACAAGGACTTGCAGGTCTTCGGGCAGAGTTATGAAGAGACGGACGTACTTGATTCGTCGGTGCTCATTATGCCCCTCGTGTTCTTCATGACGCCGGTATGATTCTATCATTATACATGTTTGTTCAAGGAAGGCTAATATGTCCACGAAGTCTGACACACGGTTCGTGAGCACGCTCAAGCAGATTCTCAAGACACCCGAAAGGGGAGGATTGACCTCTAATGCGAGTCCCACCTCAATTTCACTATTAACATGCTGATTGTGGACCAGAACCTCGTCTACCGGTATGATGTGAACAAATCTGATGATGGTGTAGGAGGCGAGGAAGGCACGTTCTGTCTCTGTACGCTGTGGTGCGTTGAGGCTTTAACTCGTGCCGGCGAGTACGAGAAGCCACTTTTGGAGCGTGCAGTGGAGATGTTCGAGGTATGTCCTATTTTCCTCGAACCCATCAAGCTCAGCGGTGCTGAACGGGATGAAGGACTTCCTGTTGTATCTTAATCACGTGGGCTTGTGCAGCGAGGAGATCTCGGAATCGGGTGATGCGTATGCGAAATTCATCTTTCTTTTGAGTTGCTGAGGCTGAAATTCTGCTTCAAAGGCTTGGAAATGCCGTCCAGGGTTTCACGTACGTTCTCCTTCGTTCGTTTCGACTTTTTGTTAACGTTTCTGTTTAGCCATGTCACCCTCATTTCCGCGGCATACAATCTTTCAAGAACCCTCGCAAATCAGCGATCCGCATAGATTCGTGTACTAGAGAGTAGTTGAAAAGAGCTCTGAACTTCCTGTGTAGATCAGCCTGCCGAAACGCCATGTTGTAATTGTGATTCTTTACTATCGATGTAAAATGGGAGTTCCGGCCATAAATGCTTTCCGTTTGTGTAGGGGGCGTAGTTTTGAGCATACCTTGAAAAGTGCACTGAGGCTGCAGATCTAATCCTTTCAAACTGCCGCTGGTTACTGTTGTTTATCAGAAGGAGAGATTCCAAAAATGCATGAAGATACGAATATTAAAGCTAAGTGAAGGAGCGCAGTTAGGTAGACTCCGATTATAAGGAACGACAGGAGATGGAACAACGAAAACGTGCAAGATGTAAAGTGAATGCTAATGAACATTTGGTTTGAGGGTAAAGGTGATATCATAGGATATGACACGAAAACTTCTTCCTATACTCCAGCGGCATGCACAATCAGAAAGTTTCCTCTTCATCGACAGGAGCGTTCTCAGGAACTTCGAAACCATCCTGCTCAGGCCGGTGAGTTTCGGATAAGCTAAAGAGAGATGAAGATGAGTATAAATGAGGTGCCTACCTCTGTCGAGTAGAGGATCTTTTGGATCTCTTTAAGGTTATCGTCTTCCTTGCCTTGGCTTTCCAGTGTCTCTGTTTGTTGCTGAACGAGGATCTCGATATCCCGAAGCTGTACAAACGTCAGATTGTGCGCTCAATAGAGATGGGTCTCGACACGCCTTTGCAAAATAAAAGTCCCTTTCCTTCTCTAGGCCTTCCATGTGAGTCGACATTTCGCGGAGTTGGGTCTGCAATGCTTGCATGGCTTCATTGGGTTGTGTAGAGCCTGCCCGATGACCGCTGATAGGCGTCTTTCCGCCGGATCGACCGACGCCTAGAACGGCGCTGGCGCTGCGAGCACCGGTCGAAAGCGGTGCGATGGTGGCTGGTGGTTCAGCTGGTGCACCACGCCTACGTCCCACCGCGTCATAGCCCTGTCCGCCGTAATTAGAATCCCAGAATCGCTTCATCCATTGCAAGAACTCTAGATTGTCTCTGACGACGCGTACATGGTCAGTATGAGGGTAGGAACATTGTAAGCCTTCATAAATGAACGTACTGCATCTTGCATTTGACAAGCTTCTCGATGGGTATAGGCTACGAGCGAAGAGTGAGTTTAATTGACGCGTTTGACGGGATGAAAAACACGCCTTATCAATCTTCTTTGCTTTGAAGACGTTCTGCATGACTTTGAAATTGGCGACGAATTCGTACTCGTGCTTTGCGTTCATCTTAACTCGCGCCATTGGAAGATCGCCTGTAAAAGAGCGAGCTCTTTAGAAAACATAACGAGCGATCTGGTTGATGAGGCTTGTACGAACCATAGATCGAGTCAAGGATTTGACAATAGGCTCCTCCCGAGCCACATTGTTCAATCTTGGTATAGTTAAGCTGCAGAAGCTCGTTCAACCAAGCCAGAAGATCTGAGCGCGAAACAGCCATCATGATGGAATGCAGAAATGTCTAGTGGGTGGAGGAAGCAAAAAGTGTGCAGAGCGTTACGAAATCGTCAAAAGGACAAAAGCGTGCAATGGCTTCGATTAGTCTGTTCTTCCTTCTTTCAAGCCACACATCACTAGTACTAGTCTTGCTCTCTGCACATCCTCGAGCTCTTGGGTGATCTTCCTTCCAGATCCGTTGTCACCTAGTGGTTCAGGTGAATTCAACCCGAAATAATTTCACTGATGCTCTGACCTCGGATTCCGGTGCCAGGTCTATTGACATTTCCCCTTGGTCCATCCGAAGGACACTGTATTTTAAATTTCAACCGCATCGTACGTAAATCGTTTCGTGGTGGAGCTGGTTAGCTGACATGCATACACGCGACTTCAACGTTTGTCGCGATTGGCAGTCGTTCATTTCTGGCATTTGATGTCAAATATGTCAACAAGGGAGCTGCCTCCTGAAGCATGTCATCGAATCGTCCATTGGACACGTCGATGCGATCTCACTGCACTGTGCCTGACCTGCAAGTCTCTTCAGAAGGATGCAGAGATCAAGCTATACGAGGTGATCATGTCCGCTGAGATCAACGTCATCTTTCGAGCGTGCGAGAGTATCGTATCTCAGGACCGTCTGGGCCCATACGTCCGCTCCTTCTATCTCTACCAGAATGCAAGGCGTACTCAAACAGAGCTGCCTCCTCGCTTTTGGAACATGATACAGAAAGCACTTTGGAAAATGCCTTGTCTCGACGTCCTCTACATTGATGATCCAGCCCGTGCTAATACTTGGATATTGAATGACATCCCAAAAATTCCGTTTCAGCTCCGAGAAGCAAACTTTCGTCTTCCGTGGAATCGACACATCGTAAAGTTCCTGGAGAACCAGAAAAAGCTTAGGCAATTCCACATTTCGGGTGGCATAGATGAAGATGCTCCACAATTTGAAGGCGGTAGCTTGCCTGACCTGTGCACCTTCGATGGGCGCCTCGCTTCAGCCATGCAGCTGCTTTCTATCCCTTGCGACCTTCGTCATCTTCGCATACCTTTGGATAGAGACACTAACAAGCAACTTTTGGATTTTATTCCCCATCTCGCTTCCCTCTCGCGAACCCTCCGTTCACTGAACATCATTCATATGCCCGAGGAATTGTCCGTGGAAGCGATCAAGCTCATATCGTTCGTGTGCCCTGACCTTCATTATGTTGGAATTATCCCATTACCAATGGTGTTTCCCCACGTAAGTCAAGTTCTTTACCTCTTTCATATAGCTTATCTTTATATCATTACCTTAAGCGCAGCATGATCCATGACGCTCTTTTGGCTATGCATAACCTACGAGATCTCGAAGTCGATGTATCCCGATGGTCGCCTCTGCCCAATACAGGCTCACTGCAACGCATGCTCGCAACTGAACTCCACACATACTGCCCTTCTATCGAACACATCATTCTCCGCACGGGAAGCAACCGAACATTGTGGTATTTTGACGGAAATGAGTGGAATGTTCGTTCGGAAAACGGGCAACATCTGCTCATCGATGGACTGTGGAAAACTAGATGATGTACTGCAGCATGCTTACAGTTGGAATCTACTTACGTGACGAAATAATGTAATCACCAAGTGAGTTCATCGCCCTTGGTGCCGCTTACATGCATGTTTACATGACCCAGCCACGCTGATACACACCCGACGGATGTATTATAGAAATGCTTGCGAAATACACGCTATGCTTATGTATTCACAACCTAAATTGGTATGGAGTTGTCACCTCCGACTCAGAACATTCTTCATAAGATGCGGCATTTTCAGGGCGCCTGAATCGAATTGACTACGAGTACGCAGGAAACAACGTGGGCTGGGCCTAAATCTGTTCAAACCGAGTTAACGTTTGCCGCATACGTCTAGCCCCTCATTCCGCCCCTTGATCGCCTTTGCACGGGGAATTCATAATATTGACAAGATTCCCGTTTCACGGTCCAGTCAACCTGCATCATGGCTCGGTAATATCCGTGCCAACGCTAAGCTACTGTGGCAATACCGGCGTTCACGAGAATGATATAAACCTTGACCCGCAACAAACTTTCATCCAGAGCAAAAAGTGACTTCTTATGCAGTACCAGCGTACCAACTCTAATTCTTCGATGGCATACTCGGATAGGTCAATCTCATCAAATTCCTCTGCATCATCTCCTCCTCCTCAGCTTGTTGCATTACCGTCTATGACCCACTCTTTGGCAGCTCTGCCAACCATGTCTGCGGTGCCACACGATATGCTACATTATTCGAATTCAGGGACACATAGTAGAGCGAAGGCAAGTTCTTGACATGCGCATTGCGCAGGGCACATCTGACACAGTTTCTATAGATGGAACATGCTATGCAAAAGCAGAGGCAACATGCGGCCGCGCATCCCTTTGCAGCGCTCACTGTACGCTTGGTCCGCTATTCATGCTCACAGATGTTGACTCCTGTTCCCTCAGGCACACGACATGCGACGTACACCCAGTCCGTCGTGTGAAGATGGACACATAACTGTCCGAAGACAAAACACCACTAGACGTTAGACTGCGCTGTGAGATTGTAAGTCATAAGGTCGAAACTTTTCGCGCCCACGCTGATTATGGCTATCGCCTTAGGCCCACGGCCGCTTGTTACTGCGTCGCCACCGCAGGTCGGAATGGCTATGTGTGGGACGATACCCAAGGATCTATCATAACACCGGACGTTAATTTTGGAGATTTATACCACTCGCGATTCGCGGGAGAAGCCCGAGATCAAAAAAAGTACTGCGGGTTCTTCAGCACATACTAATGTATCTATACTTCATATATATGGCTGTTCGTATCTTATGGGTCCAGTTGGGGTTTATGTAACGTTGATTGTCCGTTGTCATCGAGAAGGTTCTCACTCCACAACCTGGAAGAGGTGAAGGCCCAGTCAGCAGACAGCGGTGCGCCGGTGAACTGCGATCTCAGCGGCACAAGATGATGTCCACGAGGTGCTCATTTCACAGACGATGAGTTCTTGGCAGCATAATGTGTCATGCTTGTATCCTTGTAAGTGAATCATTGACCTGACTCTACCTGACTGCGGTGGCAGTACCGACTCTGAGAACCAATAGAAGAAGCAAGCAGGTTGACGAGACCCTTGTTATTAAACTGAATCTTATTCGATCCTTGTAATCCAATATACGGTTGGGCGCTCATCAGCAAGGAACGCCACATCCGATGGACGGAACAAATTTGGGGGTGTGCTGGACAACAGTAGTTTGCAGTCCTGCACAAGTCCTGCATGTAAAATTTCCTGAAACGTGTGAGAGGTATGTTTTGTGTGTGGTGTTGGTCTCATTGAGCTTACCTAAATAAATGACATGACAGTCATAAAGTGGGCGCGGTAAAAAGGAGGCTGGAGGTAGCAGCACTAGTGCCTGCCGCAAAAGTTATTTAAGCTGGCTGCAAGAAGACACGCTTTTATATATACAGGGCCGAATCTGGGGTATGGACTTGAGGTGAAATACGGAGAGGCTGGTCTCGTCTTCGACCGTGTTGAATGACTGAGAGTCAGGTGAACGGAAGTATAAGCCAGACCTAGGCCAGTACAGCGCGGTGAGGTAACTGCAAAGGAAATTTAGACCCAGAGAAGCAGAGTGGCGTTTGATTGGACCGGACGGTAACGCCGTAGACATCATGAGATGATACCCTGATCACTGAAACAGAGAAACTTAAGTATCGAAACACATTTGATGATGAGTCGATCGATGTGAGTGGGGTAAACTGATGCCTTCTTCTCGAAATGGCGCTCGGAAGCCTTTGGAAAATCTCATGCAGATGAATCCAAGCGTCAAGCGGCCACGTGCCAAGCCTGGGTGCAGATTGGTTGATATTATTTACATCTGTTTGGCAAAGGCTTTAGAAGCAAACAACCGCCTTGCATGAATCCTGCTGTTTGAATTTGCAAGTCTGAGCTCGTCTTCCCCTCTTCTATGACCCGATATTGGAATCGTTGTGAATAACGTGCTGAGTATTCACTATAATGCTCCTTCCTCTCACATTCCCCGCCTATGCAAGCATTCAAGATGCTAGTGGTCCTCCAATAAACGTCATTGAGTCCGACTTTAACTCGGAACAGACAGCTTCCTTCGTATCCTGGAGAACAGAGAATGGCTTCCATCATACTGCTGTTGGCAGCTCCACGGGCTCTATCAGCGTCTTCAGCTTCCACCCTACCAATACTCCAAACTCAGACTCGCGTGCAAGACTCACTATCACACCGCCTTCTGAGCATAATCCACCTTCTGCCCCGTCTACACCAGGAAGATCTCCCTCCGACTCTCGACGGCATTCTCGATCCCTCCAGTCGCCCTCGTCGCTATCATTCAATCAAGCTCTAATCAATGTATCCGCCAGAGCGCGAGTGGTTTCTGGCGTATCACGTGAACAAGTAGAAGCCCCGAAGAATTATGTTGACTTCGAAGACGAACCTGGCCGATTGAAGGACATACTCAAGAGCAACAGCAAGCACGAGAGGCGGTTGTGGGAGCGCACTCTCGCAGACGCAATACTCCCTAGCTTTGATAGAGGCGTGGTCATAGAACAGTCTCCCGCTGCCTCTCCAACGGTTCTGCCCACCTTGCCAAACTTACCTTCTAGCACGAGCAAAACTAAAGATGATCCCAAATCGCTGCTTTCAGCAACAAATTCCCCGATGTTCTCCCCGGCATCACTTTCGACACCGCCGTCTCCTCGTCAACTATCACCTCCTTCCGATGGCTCACCATCTAGCGGAACAGTTTTCAAAGCAAGCATCATCCTTGATCCTTGTGGACCTGGGCATGCAGCATCTGCCATGCGGTATATGGAGACGGCGGACCTATTGGTAGTTCTTCAAGAATCAGGGTGCGTTCTATCGCTACCAACCCACATTGCTAGCACATTGAGCCTCCTAGCAATTTATCTGCCTTTGACGTGCGAGACAGTGCGTGTGTGGCAACATGCCAATGCACGACCACAAGATCATACCAGGATCAATTTTGGAAATGGGAGGCTATTCGAATGGTGCCCACGGGAGACGTACGTCGTTTTGTTGTTATCTTGTGCTTCCGCAAAGTTCATTTTACATCAATGTAGACAACGTACTTCATTCTGGTGTGCGCATCACCTTCGCAGCCTCCTTTTGCAGAGACATTCGGCCTTGCGGATGAACCTCGTGATTCCAAGGCGCGTCTGAATATGTTTGAGCTTTCTGTGGGGGATTCATATGGTGTACATCCCACGAGGTTTGAGAGGCTCGCAACTGATGACTGGCGAGTCGATGCGCCGGCCGGCGGAGTAGAGTTACTTATGAATGATATCGACGGTAGGATGTATTTTGCTGCTTTCAGTAATGTTCATCCTATCCTCTTTCAAGGTTCTATTCAGCTAGTGTATATTAATTCAATGAACCACCTTGTCACCCAGTGCTTGACCATCATCCCCGAATACGAAACACGAGCTCGCAGACGGTCCTTCACGTCTTCTCCAGCTCATTCTCAAGAAGATCACAAGTCATTGGCGATCCCAAACCCATTCAAAGCATTTACTAGCAAGAGTGCTGAGAATGTCGCTCTGCTGGGTCAAAATCACAGTTTCGGAACAGAGCAGGAGAGCATCTCTGCTACAACCGCGACAGGAAACCTTGGGCGAGTTCGGCTGGAGGAAGAAGAATCCCGTGGTATTGTGATCTTATCTCCAGGGTTTTTGCTTGAAGGCATTATTGTCCGCTATGCTGGTTTGAATGAGAGGATTATAGGACTTGCATGGTCGAATACAGATATCACGGTAAGTCTTCAGATCCTATCAAATACTCACATCGAGGACTGAAGGGTTTTGTTCAAGGGATTCACTGCAGGACAGCAAGAGGAATCTCTTATTACAACTTTCGCTGTTCCTTTCAGGAGCCGGAGTAAGATCCAAGGTGTACATTTCATGGATGACGAAGCGTTCGTGGTACTTGGTGTCAGTGTACCCCGGGATATTATTTAATCAGACACTGAATTAGAAATGTTTTGCAGGACACCATCTCTCACTACTATTTGCGGCGCGTTGATGCTGACAATAATACTGCAACCACTTATTCTAGAACGCCGATAATTACTCAGTATGTATTTCCTTCTACTTTCGCAGTCAAGAGCTCACTGAAGCATTGCAGAGCAATTCAAACGATGACGACTTCTGGTGGTCCTTCGTTGATGCTGTCATGGTCAAGATCGTCCCCTCACGATGTCCTTGCGCTCAGGCAGCTTCGATCAGGGCAGAAGGAGATTTCAGTTCATACTATTCATCCCAGACAGGATGTGCCGAACAAGCAGCAACGCCGAAGATTGTGGAGAGCACAGAGTCCGTCAAGTGGTACCATCCCAGGAGGAGCAACGTTGATGTCCGTTCTGCCCTTAGAGCTCAACTTCGTCTTGCTAGGTTACAGTCAGTACAAATTGCGCTTCAAGTGTCCTGCTTCCTGATTTTGGGTTCCAGGTGATGGCCACATTCGACAAACTTCGTTGCCGTGCCTTTTGCAGCGAAGGTACCATGTACAATCTGTGCCCCTCTCCGCCTTTTCTCCCATATCTGGCAGTGATGTGCTCTTCGACAAAGTATCAGATATGGGCTTGCCCTCGTCTATAATGAACATGCATCTTGTCCGAAACGATCGCACGGGTGAACGATATATCTTAGGAGGAACAGATGATGGTGGCATTGCTATCTGGGCACTGGAGTGCGTACATTACCTGCATTAACGGGATTTAGCTCAATATCATATTCACCAGATCCCTAAAGCTCCAAGCGCGATTTACTCCGTTTATCGTACCTCTGATGCATGTAGCGCAGGTGCTACAATCGAACGACAATGCTGGGCCTCTGCGGGGATCGCTACTCTGCATTTCAGGGGATGGTACTATTGCTGTGGTATCGATAGAAGGTTTCGAAATGTGGGTTTCAATTGACCAAACACTAGTTCTGCAACCTAACGCAATTGATCTAGGCTTTACCTCATTCCTGGGGCGTCGTCTCCGATAGCCCGCATATATGCAGGTGGGGACGACAGCAATCGTGCAGTATTAATCTACGCAGATGGGAGCGCGCGTGTCTGGGACGTTGAATCAGGTGAATTCTTTCGTGCAACGACTGAAGAGAAAGTCAAAGAGCTCGTCGATGCTGGAGGCTGGATTAACATGTAAGTCGTACCTGCCGGTTCAGTATAGGCCCTGACGATGTTTCAAGCTCCATCGACAAGTCGGAGCTGACCTCCATCTCCGTTTCGATGCTTAGTGGATCTGTTGGACCTGTTTCACGTACGTGTTTCATTCGACCAACGTTACTCTACGATCTGACAGTGTTATTGATCTTTACCCCCTCAAGTGTGCACCCTGTTGCTGAGTCTAGATCGCTTCCTGAAATACACCTCCGTGAACGTTAAATCTTCGGGACAGTCATCATCATCTACCCCTTCAAACGCTACACTTTCGCAGCTTCGTGCTGTGTTGTCTGCATTACTGACACCTGGACTCAGTCCTGACATAGACGAAATCTGTGAAAATAAGCTTGGTACTGGCCCATCACCGAGTACAGTAGGGTTTTCATCTGCGCATGCCACCACAATCTACCACCATGATCACCCAATTCACGCTTGGTCGATGTCAGCCAGAGCATCTGCGAATCGCGTCCTCGCGATTGTCTCGGTCTTGAGGACTTTATCCCTCGCCGAAGGTTCGTAGATTTCATCTATGCCGCTCCACCCGCCCCTGAATCGGCTTGTCTAGAGCTGTCGCACGACTGCCAGACAGTCATAACATTCTACTCTACTTCCCTAGCTCACATAGTGGGTGCGTCATACCAACCTCCGGACGTCGCGTATCTGGCTACACAGTGGTTCGACTCATCCAGTGGGTCATCTACTGCTATCTAAAGGAATGTCGACTAAAGCGCTTTGATCTTACAGACGACGTGCGGCAAGCTGCAAAAACCCTTTTTGACGTGGGGATTGCGCGTCTTTCGGATGAAGAGAGTATTGCTCTTGTTGATGCATGGCAACACCACCGTAAGCTGGCGTACATCTGTATCATCAAGAATAATTTGACATCCATGTAGTTCCATGCTTGCAGCCCTCCATCGAGAAGCAATCCGCAAAGTCTTCTCTCGCTTTGTTCATTTGCGGATACATGGCAGCTGAGAAATACAGTCTATTATCCACCAGGTAATAATGATCTTCTATTCGTGGTAGCCAACGTTAATGACTTCCTAGCTCACTCGTCGACATCTCCAAGTCAATCGCGTTGTATTTGCACGACGAATCATCTGCGCACCGTGGACTAGCCATTGACCTATGCGCACGCGGATTTCAGATATGGCAGCATTACATCGACGCTATGGCGACGCTCCGCGCATTGTACACCCTCGCTACAAACACACGCAAGGAAACTATCTCAGCTCAAAACATCGGGCCCCAAGCAAGATTGGCAGTGTTGCAAATTGCATCGAGTAATACACCTTTGTTCATGACCACGCTCACACTAGACATTCTCAATCCAAAGACGCTGGATCAGCGGAAAGCAGTTATGCAGTTGGTGGCGTTCATGATCAGGAAGGTATGTGTTATGTTAGGACTGCAGGATGAGTTCATCGGATTTCTGATGTTTAGTGACAACAGAGGCCCCTTATTCTGTACCCAAATCTTCCTAGGTTGATGGAAGCCGTGGTCAAATCACTAGATCCCAATTCCACAGCGAGCCGTGACGCCGTACTCGACAGTGCTACCGAGATCATTGGCCATGTGGTGAAAACGTAAGTCAACTTTTCGATAGGCTTCTGTGCATATGGTGAATTATAATTCGACCAGGTTCCCCACAGTCGACTTCCACATGGCGACTCAACGTCTTGCCGTCGGAACGAGCGAAGGCGCTTTCATTATGTATGATCTAAAGACGGCAACGCAGCTGTATGTCCTCGAAGGACATAAACGGCGTCCGGCGGCATGTACGTTTTCACCTGACGGACGCCGCCTCGTGACTATGTCCCTTGAAGAAGGTGTTGTGCTTGTCTGGAAAGTCGGCTCAAGCTTCACAAGTTTCTTCAACCCCGGAGCTCCGCCCAGGCAAGGTCATGGTGGATCTTTGCCATTCAAAACACTCAATTTCAACGTTGGTGACGAAGGTGTGTCATGGCGTGTTCATTTTCTTGCTTTGGCGCTCACGCAATCCTTCTAGCCAACATGACTATCACGGGCACATTGGAGTGTGTGAAGTTTGAATGGCCAGCCGAACGCACCGTTCGTCTTCACATCCGAGAAAGCGTCCTAACGTTTAGTACCTGACCTACGAGGTGTCAATGCTACATTGCAATATTGTTGTAACATCATTGATTGTTCGTGAAAAGAAATATCGCAGGAAGTTCTAATTCTCAAGCCGTCAGATCGCACGCGTCAGGCCTGAGCGCACACCAATGTGGCTGGAGTGGGATTGGCTTGAGCCCGCGCTGTACCATCCTGTAGCGGACGTCCTGAATTGTTCATGTGGGATCAGTCATTTAGGCAGTGAACAACTGGAAGCAGTACTGACGTGCAAGCGAGGTAGTGCCTCGGTGACGTTTAACGGAGCGCCTGTGGGCTGCTTGCCACTCCAGAAAATCTCTGCTGAGGAGGCAGCACGGGGCCACACGATAGGGTCGAGATTTTGAGGAGCAGATTGCTCACTCCACAACAGTTGCTCGCCTGCGAATCAGAAGGTGTCAATTCGCACCATCTCAAGACTTGACTTGATCACATGTGTTTACCTCCAAGAACGAGTCCGTATTGTGCCTCTGTCAAGTTTGCCAAGGGATCAAAAGTGTATGCCTTAAAATGTTATGAGATGTATGATCCTCGGAAACAATTATGAGGCAATACCTCAGACCACGTCTTGAAGGGGTCGCACCAGCTATTTCTGTTCTCCCAAGGCACGTCAGTTCAGATCAAGCAATCGATAAGTTGAAGACCAACCCAGCGGGGTAGGCTCCCACCCATCCACCAGCACCACAATCCTATAATGATAAGATAAGAGTGTCTTGACTATGGGAAGAACCCGGGAACCAACCAAGTAGAAGTAATTAGATGGCGCATGGACGATCCTCAAACCTCTTTCTGCTACTGCTGCAGCATCCGCGGAAGAGATCCAGACCCTGTCGGGTACGGTTGTATCAGCGGAGCCGGATCATACTATCAATATGCTTACATCACGATAGTCTCGTTGACGAGTGTAAGGTTCCAGTTGAGAACCATCTCTGAGTGGCCGTCTTCATGGAGTGCTATCATTCGAAAAGAGAAACGGACAGACCTTCCCATACGACTGGCGTCTTTCCCTCGGCGATAAGTGCGGCGTGAGTCACCTGCGTAAACGTGTCCAGAGCACTGTTCAGCGTCATGCCCGTACTGTTGAGCTGTAGCTGTGTGGGGTAGTCGTTGGCGTAACAGTTTGTGTTTAGTTCATCGCCACCAGTGCTGAAGTAGGACGAAGGCAGGTTCTTTGCGACGCCGGCGAGTAAGGAAGCCGTGAAGTTCACGACCTCGGGGAGTGCGAAGCGAAGCTGTCCAGCGGGGGGCTCGTTGGCGTAGGTCGCCCATGGTGTTTCGTCAAAGCACGCAATGTAGTCGGGATAAGTGGCTGCAATGATGGAAGTGTGGCCGGGTGTGTCAATTTCCTGATGGAATAATCAGGTTTTCTTTACAAAGTCGACTATTAAATACTGACCATCATAACATCGATACCTCTCTGCGAGACGGCCATAAGCGGCCAAATGGGGCGATGAAGAGAATTGAAGACGTACTGCAGCGGCATACTCAACGATGTATTGGACATCACTCGCAGTGTAAACTTCTTGCGGAGAATAGGCACCGTTGATGGCAAGCTCGGGATACTGCGCAACTTCAAGCGGGAAACTTTGACTGTCCGTGATATGCCAGTGGAAGGTGTTGATCTTCCTAGCCTGTGAGCAATCACACTATGACACATCAGGAAAGCACTCGCCTTGACCCAGCTCATCGCGTCCAAAGTTCGCAGTATGTCGCCGACGGGGTAGTAGTTCCTCGCAGTGTCCAGCGCCAATCCTCGGAAAGGCTACAAATGTGGGTTTCAAGCAGCCGACTCAAAAATAGCTGCTCACATATGCGGGAGTGTCCGTGATAGCAATCGGGGCAAGCAAAGTGTAGGTTACCCCACCGTAGTAGTAGAACATCTGATTAAAGGTTGTGAGTCCTCTGTAAAGACCCAACGTCGAGTTCGCGGTCAAAGTAGCAGCCGAGCCGTCTGCTGGAATCGTCAGCGCGTACTCCTCGCTACGGGTGCCCAGGGGCTTGACAGCTTCAGAAGCAATAGGCTCCGCAGTAGCCCAGCTCGTGAGAGACAACGTCAACTTCGAAAGCGTCTTCGCGCTGGCGAGGGCGGTAGTGTCATTTGCGCCGCGACCGACGACAAGACGTCCGAGTTTGTCGTTTGCAAGATAGTATTGCGCTTGTGCAACCGCCTCGTACAAATCCACCGGCGCGCCTTCAACCTGCACGTCAAAGTAGAAAGCAGGGGAGACCTTGAGGGCGGTCATTCCTGTCTCGAGTGTAGTTGGGCTGGGCCAGAGAGCAAGGACACCAGAAGGCAGAAGACATCCAGCGGCAAGCGCCAGGAGGCCAACGTAGCGAGAACCGGGGGCCATTGATATTCTGCGGGTCAAAGACGCGACCAGCTCAACTACAGCTCCTTATAAAGGTCCAGTTGAGGGGATCATGTGGATGCGCAACACGCGCGTACGTAGCGCTAAAAATAATAGATAGATTTGGAATCGCCGTTGTGAGAGCGGCGCGAGGGGGGAGTTACATAACAGGGAAGTCAGTTGGTACGGTACTAGTACCTGCTTTGCATTAAACAATTTAACCACCAATCAACTGGCAGCTGAGCAGACGGTCAATGAGCCTGGCAGAAACTTTGAAGCAGGATAGAATCTCGACCTAGTAGCAGATGCGCATGGCGGTTGTAACTTTCAAGTTGCTAAGTCAGTGGTCTGAATCACGAGTACTACAGATGCTAATTTTGGTGCGTAGACGCGTCTGTGGCGTGCGCCGTGCAATGTGCACGCCCTACCTAAATCACGTGAGGGGTCTGGATGCGGCTATTAATGTTACTTAGTGATTGTTCTCGACGTCGGGGAACTGAACATAATGAAATGTGGCACATGAAGGGGAGTGCAAGCGTCAGCGCTTGAGAAAACTCATTCCCGAATCCGCAAGTTTCCAGGCTCCAGGTCTTCATGCCCGAAGCCAAGGAGGTACTTACGGTGGTTGTCGAGGGCGTACTTTGAAAACCCATTCATGATTCGGCAAGGAACAGGTACGTGAAGCTTATCGTGCAACACACAGATATAAGTAACCTGCAAACCTCATGGCTAAAGAGACAATGAAAGACGCGATGACAGCGGCTCAAACCAGCGAGTGAAAAACAAGTGCTATTTACGAGAATAACACTCCCAGACAGTTGGCGCTCCCACAGTGGCACTCCGCATAGACCGCATCATTGTTCGCCTTCGCATTTTTGGCCTTGATGATCTGTTCAGTCAATCAGTTTAGTTGGGTTGTGCCAATCTGTAATCAATGGCATACATACCGCATCGTCATCGATGTTGCCCATGTAGGAGAAAGACAGCTCCTCAAAGGGTTCGACTTCTCGCTTGGTAAAGACTGTCAACAACGGCTTCTCGATATTGGCTTCGTTGATGTAGCACGCATTAATTTCACAATTCGGGTCGCAGCTGTGGTTCTGCAAAAATGACGTCAGCTCTGTGCAAAGACTTGGAATAAAATAGACTTGCAAGAAAACGAGTGAACTAAAGAAAAATCGTCAGCGAGAGAAGGAATAACCAATAAGGAAACGAACGTTTCCAGCATGGTAAGCATCCACAGAGTACGTTGCTTCATCTGCACCTATATGATGGAAATCGATGTCGAAGAGATAAGTTCGTCCGAACTTGTTGTATAGCCTAGCCGACAGTTAAGATCGCATATCTCCCGCATATACTGGGCACTCACGTTCCACGGTGGTCAGATTCTTCAACGGTCAGCAATTCGCCAGCATAGGTACCGATAAAGGATCCCTTAGGAATCCTCTTCGGCCCATTAAAGACACCTGAAAACAGTCAATAAGATCGCACAGAGGCAACAACACCAAAAACGCACCCCATCCTTTAGATTCCGTCCTTTTGATACTGACAGCATATCTCCTGCCCCTCTGAACAACCTGAGGAATCAAATCAACAGTCAGCACTCCCACGAGAACACGTAAACAAACGCTCCCTACCCGGTTCGGACAGTCCTCATCACACCCACAAAAATCATTACACTCAAAGATCGGTACCCCAAACCACTGCAGACACCCCTTGCCGTCATACACTCCTTTCCAGTCCTTCGGTATAGTACCGTTGTCAATATACTGCTTTAGATGATGGTGCTGCCGCTTCGCGCACCCACACGTCTTCGCCTTGGGATCACACCGCCCAACACAGCCGCAGCTCACCAGATTCTTGATATCTGGTGGCGGAACGCCTTCACCATACCACATCTGGTTTGTGTACACGAATTCCCAAGGTGGCGCGCCTTCGTCGGTCACCTCATTGATGATCGATATAGGAGGGGCTTCGAGCTCGTCGTCCATTGCTTCATCCATCATAGCCTCGAAAAGCGCGGCTGCCTGGGGCGAATCTCTGTATGACTGAGGGAGGGCATTGACGCGGTCCTGGAGCTCATGCGGAAGGTCCTTGGCGAGACGATACTTGGGTGGCAGCCGCCGCTGCGCATGCGAATACGAATTCCACGTCACGACAGGATATTCACCCATATAATATTCGACCCCGTCTTCGAGCTGCTTTACGGACGCAGCATCATCTCCATCTACCGGACCAACAACGCCCAACGAACCAGCAGACACGGGAGACCGGGAAAGCCGTCTTGGAGAAGTCTGCGAAGATATCGTCCGGCTGCTACTGACAGAAATCGGATGATCCACGTCTCCTGCCTGCAAATAAAGGATATAAAAATACCACGTAGACGATCCGCCACGAACGAACCTCTCCATCTGAAGCCTCCAATTGCATTTGCACCGCAAAGCAATCTTGGTCGCTATCTCCCGACACACCCATCGACACAGACCTTGCCCTCGCGGGCTCTGCCAATGTCCGTGTTCTTCTCATATCCGAAGCACCGTGCTCTTCGTCGACATCGCGGAGCTCTTCAACAGAAACCGGAGATTGCTCTACGCTCCCAGCCGAAACGTCATCTGCCATCATCTCCAGTGACTCCAACGCCTCGTGTTCCATCAATTCGGCGGACACCGGGACGTCTTCAAGGTACCCGACTTCACATATATTCTCCAAAGGTGAAACGCCCACCTAATGAAACATGCCAGACTTGTCAATTTCGCTTGTTGGATTCCACGAGGACGTGTGCGTACCTGATCGACATTGATCTCTACTTCGGGGGATCGTCTGTATTCATGCAAATCTAGCGATCCAATGCTCTCGGTGACACCTTGCAAGCCTTCCGATCGAACCATGTCGTTTATCACATCATCTAGGGGAGAGGCGTCCTCGTGAGCGTGTCGTGATTCAGCTCCCGTTGTCGTTGTCTGGACTTCTGCCTCTTCCTCCACAGGAATAGCAAACGGTGATATGGGCGACGTAACTCCGAACTCCTGGAGTGGTTCAGGTGGTGTACGATGCTGATCACGAAGTTGCGCAGAAGGCGAGGGCATCTCAACCCAAGCAGCAATATCATCGGCACCAGCATCAGCAACGGAACCCTGCGTACTTGGTGGCCGAACAACACGCCTGGTTCTCCGACCCTCAGAAGGAGACAACGAGTGACCGCGCACCGGCATCTCCGATGCAGGCGTAATAATGCGCCTAAACACATCCGCATTACACGAGGTTCTCTTCATGCTCTGTGGCGTCGCCTTCTTCGTCGGTGTAGGCTGCGACGCGTCTGAAATGGGCGAAATGAACATCTCAATGCTCGCCATGCCCATCGAGCGGTTCTTCCTGCGCGAACTGGATTTCGAGCCGCTTTGGTTGCTGGATGATGTTGAATTGGATGTGATGGAACGAGGGGGAGAGGTGTTGGGAACGAGGGCGCTGCTGGCGGATGCGGCAGACGATGTGCTTGGGTTGCTGGCTGCTGAAGAGATGCTGAGTTTACTGCTGGATGGACGCTGACGCATTAGATCGCGGATTTCCTGTATGCTCGGCGTACGAGTCTGAACAGTCGGCGCTGGCTGGCTGGTAGAAACTGGGGCAGGTGATGAAGACGCATTGCTGGATGTCATATGTGGGGATTGCGCAGATTCCGGAGGGTTTGACATAGATGCATTGGGCGCTTGACTACCACCGCTCGAAGATGATACATTGTCAGTGAGGTCGATATAGTCGCTAAAAGGAAACGGCCTGAAGTGCTCCTCTCGTCTCTTGTTGATTAACTCGGTAAGCGAGAGCTTAACGGGCCTCTGCACGCGTGGTGGGACGGGGAGGGGGACGGAGGAGGGAAGCGCCGTCGGTGGGGGTGTTAGCATGTCCGACGTGGAGATAGGGACCTTATCTGCAGGACTTGGCGAAACACTCCTATCATCGTCATGAGGCGGTGAGCGAACAAATGAGGGTGATGGATTGCTGCTCGCCGCGGATGCGCCAGAGACCTGCTCGTCCACCGATGGTTTGAGCGGGACGCTTGTTGTGGACAATCCGACAGCAGCTGGTGCAGCAACTGGAGCAGCGGGAGAAGCGGATGCGGTCGGTTCACTAGATATCCGTGTAACCAATGGCAGAGGTTTTTTCAACGCCTTTGCATTGAAAGCAAGCGCCCTAGCAAAGAACGGGTTGGTGCTGGGAGGGGTATATTTCCATGTTATCGAGGGTTTAGTGATGGTGGCCGCAGTGGCATATGTCTCGGACGGAACTTCTGGAGCAACCGTTGAAGTGTTGGAGGGTGATGATAACTCTAAATGAGGAGTATCGGCTGCATTGAGTTGAGAAGTTATCTCGACTGGAACAATGTCATTCAGGGAAGTCTCGGTTGCTTGCTCTGAGGATGGAGGGGTGGAATCAGTGGGCATGCGAGGTGCTGGGTCCTGAGCAGCATTATAGCCATTCTGGGCAATCAGACTAGCAATTTGGTCAACGTTATCTTGTTCTGGGGGGTCCAAATCAATGTACGAAAACAACTCCTCTGTTTGACGCTGCAGTTCTGATCTTGCCAATTCTTCGTCGAAGTTGGATTCGGGCTCCATCGGTTCATAGAACGAGTCTTCTGGAGCCTGAAGTTCGAAATCGAGCATTGGTTCATTTTCTGATTCCGGGACTATCGGAGGCGGCGAAGGCAAAGGAAGACTGGGCTCCTCAATGGGAAGGACAACGGTGGCTGGTGGGGGAGCAGGGACATTGTCGTTATCACTGTCCGATATGCAAATAACTTCAGCGTCAGGAGGAGGTGCACGTTTAGGGCATGTTTTGCGGGAATTTGGCGTTTGTGAAAGTTGGGTCTGCCTCGGTGGAGTGTCTGCATCTGAGCTCGAAATAACAATGGGATTGTCGCGGACCCTTCTTCGTCTAGTAGAACCCGAAGAATCAGTGAGCTCAATGACGTCTTTACTGGGAGGCGGACGACCGCGCGGAAACTTTCTAACGGAAACTAGGTGAAAACATTAAGGTTGTGGAGTAAAAGGGAAGGTAATGCAGCTGACCTCTTCGCACGCGAGTAGCAGCGGAAGAAGGTTCAGAACCGCCTTGTCACGCCGCATACTTGTTAATACACCGAAGCATGGATAACGAGGGTAAACTTACTGCTGGGCTTCTGAACAGCACGAATCAGATCTGAAGTGGATACCCTGAGACTTCCTGTAGTCTTGCGAGCCGTTTTGCGAGCCGTTTCTACGCGTTTGAGCCGCGCATTCTGCTTCTGGATTATGGTTGATATATGATCACTCAGCGATGAGCTTGACCGCCCGCTTGACGCGCGGTCCTTGGCTGTCTCAGGACGCACGGGCGATGCCCGCGTAGGTTGGGATAGAAAAGAACGGGATATTTTGGCGATTTTAGGAGGTTGTGTTAGACTACTAAAAGCAGCACCGTTCGTTCTTTCGTCAGACTGTGATACCTGAGCGGATTTCTCGGGCTGATCATCATCATCGAAACGGGCAACCTTCCGAGGCCTCTGAACAGAGACAGGGCTCTCAATAGCCTTCCTCTTCCCTGGGGGTGTGTGCAAGTTATCCTCTTCGTCGTCAGCGAGATCACTGGCAGGGTCAGATGATGGTGTTGGTGCAGGGGATGTGTTTGGAGGCTCTTGCATGAAAAATGAGCTTGAGGGTTTGAAGAATATGGAACTTCATTACCTGAGAGGACGGTCCAGCTTGGGCCAGGGCTGAGTCGCATCGGGACTACCAAACTCGGTCAGTACTCCGCGATCCAGTGCGGGACAAGCCCCGCGGGGATAAATTTTCAAGGTATTGACCTTTAGAACAAAAACGAACAACGCGATGGCAAAATCAATACAGCAAGCACAGCTAAGCAGTTCAAATCGACAAGTTTGAAGGAGACTACACATTTTCGAAGCAATGAGTTGCTTGGACCTACATTATGTAAGTAGCTCAATGTTTTACGTAAATGACTGTTTTAAAGTGGGATACGCTATGCCGCCATGTTGATTGACTTCCACATCGACCGACATCGTTAGTTCCATCATATTCTCTGTTCGCTTCTCTAACTATGCCGAGCGTGCAGTCAACCGGAACTCATACCAACCCCACAGTAAATCAGCAATCCGCGGATCATGCCAACAGTACTTTTGATGCACTGATAGATTTGCTCGCATCAGATGATATCCATGATATCGCAGGAGCAGATTCACATCCCTCACACAGCCCTAATCACACCTTACAACTACGGGACGCATCTGGCAAACTAGATTTTGACAAGATCCGTCTCATGTTCGCAACACAAAATTTAGGCGCTGACAGAATCGATAACAAAGCACTGGCCGATACCCACTCAGAGACCCGCAGTCTGCGTGCGCAGCGTGGGAGTGATGTGCACGATGTGCGTGTATTCATGCCACAGGATCTTACCATTGACGGTCCCAAGGCACTTAGCAGAAACGGTTTCTCAGCTCTCCCAGCTCGTCCCCCCTCCGACACGTCACGTGACTTACCCGCCGGCATCCAAAAAAGGCTATGATGGTTTATTTTCTCGTCCTCAAGTCCCTCTCAGTCGAAGACAATCATGATTGTCCTAATGGACTTTGTACAATTCAGAAGACACGCGTTTACCAAAGGTATAGCCAAGAACGGCTCCTTGACAGATTGAGGAGTCCAACTGTTACTGATGACTAGCGATACAACCCAGCAGACACTAAGTAGTAGGTGAACCCCAAATGACCGAAAAACTGACATTATCTGGTTCAAAGTGCACACCCTGTTGCGCCTACCTTTTTCCTGGAGGTGCAACAGAACCGCGCAATACCATTTTGGGACATCTGTTGTTTGTCCCCCTCGATTCCTGTCCACCGCCGCCCGTCACTGCTGCAATGCTCATTCCTGTACTACTGGGACCACAGATGACGAGAAAGGGACCGCTAGTGCTATGTTGTATCATGCTCGTTCATCATCTCAGTGACCACATTCACAATCACTCTAATGACAGCTTAATCCCTCTAACCAGTACAGTACTTATATCCGGGTCTTTCTATTCATTGCCATTGTTAGGTACTGTACTTAATACACATTATAATTGCCTTCAACTCGAGAGAATGAGAAAATAAACCGTCATAGCCTTTTTTGGATACCGACGGGAAGTCACGTGACGTGTCGGAGGGGGGATGAGCTAGGTGAGCTCGGTTTCTCTAGGTCTGTGTCGCCGTCAAGCCAGTCCCCACGGAGGCAGCAGGGCTCACGCTTAACCTCGGCCGGCTCTTCCGCATCACTGGATCAGGATGTCCAGAGTACGAGTACGCAGAAACAGCAATCCACATCTTCAGCTCAGGCATCGCACCCTTCCTCAGACGAGTTGACTCGCCTCAGAACTGACGAGGAAAAAAAAATATCCCGGCATGAGTCACCAAATGCGCAAATTGCCGTGCCCCGTGATAAGATGCTGCTCCCTCATCATGTACGTTCTGAGCGGATCTGATGGCGATCACCCAATTCATACCAGTAGGGTAGTTCTACAGATAAAGGCACAGAGCCAACTGCACCGCTCGCGACACCTTCACCTTTACACGTGGTGCGTTGATCACGATTCATTTTTACGCTTGATCCCGATTCTCTCCATTTGCGGTTTGGTAGGATAGGGTCGGAGATTTGGCTAAACCGCTTGAGTTCGAACAACTGAACAGCGCACTCTCACATGCTACCTCCGAAATTGACTCTCTCCGTGAACAATATGAAAAGCTCCGCATCTCTGTCGCGGAACGGGTTTCTCCGCAAAATGGCTTACAAACAAGAAAACCTTCTGTTCAGACCTCCGGCAATCACATCATCCCTTCATCTCAGCCACGGGCTGACATACAAGGCCCCGAACTCGGTCCCATGGAGGAAATATGGAGCCTTTCTGAATATGAGGCAAAGAATATTCTCACCGTGAGTTTCTAGCTTTAGTTTATCGTGAAGCTCACACCGCAATCTCCTCAGGGACTAATCACATCACTACAACTGTCCCCTCGTTCTGTCATGAACCTAGTTTCTAAGTTCTGGGAAGAAGGTCCGGTCTGTCCACGGCCCAATAGTGTCGACGATATCAGGTCTTCCATGGAATTCCTGGCTCGTGTCGATGAGCTGGTATGGAAACGGTCTGTGCTAGTGAATGGCAGCGGTCCGGATCTACTCTATTCGAGAGCCAATACGGATGCCCTTGTTGAGCGCCTGGCTCTCTGGGAGAAAGCTATCAGAGGCCATCACAAAGGCTAGAACTCCCAGTAATGACGTCTCGCAACCGGATTGAACTCGCGTCACCAGCGTAACAGCTGCTTCTCAGCACAGCTTTTGGAGGTTCCGCAGGCCGCCTTATTGAGCTCCTGGTATTTCGTTACGTCTGCACACAGGTCAGTTCTTCTCCCGCGAAGTACTGTCCCAGTCTGTCGTTCCATTTGAATAATAATATTGCATTTTTGAGATATCCACGCTCTTTTATTGAAACTGTGCCAAAACTGAATGCGGCATGTACTGCCACCTACTCAAAAGTATAAGTATACAGTGATTTGATCAGCTCTCCACTCATTGACCATGCCCTACATTCACGCTCCCCACTTTCACATCACGATAAACGTTCGCCGTGCCCAAGACAATACGACGCCAACTGGTGACTTCCAGTGGCAGACTGTTATCGGTATCATTGTTGGATTCCGTGAGTATCCCTTGTCGCCACCGTACAGCCAACATCAAATCTGACTTTGTCAACGTGTCGATCCCACAGTGTCTATTCTACTCGCCGTCTACCTCCTTCATCTATTGTTCCAGTTCCATGCTTCAGGCGTACCCCGTCGCACCTTCGGTGAGTTGTTTTGTTCCTTAATGGTATTTATGTTAACTAATATATATATCTTTTGGCGCCAGAATACGTACTTCCATCAAGTATTCTGCGTGCCTCGCATTCCGTCACTGAACCTGACGTGTCGGGCTCGTTCCCCGACATCCCGAGGACAACTAGTCGAGCTCCCCCTCCTCCTTATACAGCAAGATCAAACACAGCTCCCCTCCCCGCAATCACAGCCCCACCTCCATCGTTCCAAGGTGGTCCAGCCCGCCATCCGCGGAGCTCCCGCCCTTCACCGCGCCGCCACGTAGATGACCTTATTTCAAGAGCATGAAATGGACTCGAACACATTGCTGCGGACGCACAGCAAGCCGACTTATGACGGGCTTCGGCATCCTGTGCATCCCTCCGTTACCACTTAGCAAGCTCTTTCTTGCTCGTTCCCGAGATTGAAGATTCTCACTGGGTTATACTTCTCCGCGCCCCAAGACTGAGTCCGCCATTAATAATGAACATGCATGGACACGGATCTCGTTAGACTTGTACTACATGGCCAAGCTACCTACGTAGATGCGTTGGCATGTTTTCATTTGTTCGCTTTGGGAGCGCAGTCGATTGCACACCGCACGTGTGACGTCGAGCGCCCCTTTCGTCCATACCCCACGGACTTCTTCCCTCATCGCATGTCCCTACATACACATACACCCCCAATTCCCTGGCTTGTGCGGCATCGGATACGCCACACGCTGATTCTTACGGGGCTGTTCGAGTCTTCTATATCTTCCGATGTATGCTAGCCGCGCGCGTCTTTGTCAAACAAATCTGGTCGGACTCTACTGCCGATTAATAGGGTCCAATTTAATGTGCGCATATGCCCGGCAGCCGGCAATATGTATACCGGTACGCGGGCTATATCGATTTTGTGTTTCTCTATGGATCCTTGTTTGTCGAATAAGTAATCTGTGCCGGGCCCATTTAACTCGGTTAAGTTACGGGCTCAAGACACCGTGGCTGGGTCTCCGCCAACACGTGCGAGGGGCACGAAGCCCCTCGGTTGGCCCCGAATTGTTGTTCTTAGAATGTTCTCAAAGCTCTTTGTGCCCTGGAGGCTACACAGGACATTAGTATCTACAGGATCACTTTACCGGAAGGTGAGGTCGACCGTCGAGGTCACCGTAACAGTGGCGGTGCACATCTCAAGAATCCAAGCTAAGGTGAAAGTGCATGGCCATACTGAGGTGTAGAAGGTGAAAATTGAAAAATAGTGTATATCGCAGAGCTTCGCAATCGCGTAGATGACACTTTGCTAGACCCTAGTAGAGATCGATAGCGTTAATAAACGAAGCAAATTCAGTTGGCAGGAGACAGAACAAGTGGAGGTCTTCGCGTCATCAATCAACATATGACTTGATAGAAGTGAATCCCGTACTCGGAGGAGAACCTTTCATTGCGGAAAATAAACATCAGGATCCACTGGGAGTATTTTCATGTAGTTTCTGGTGACAGGTTGTTTCGCTATGCTGTGTCCGTTTCCTTTCCTGATGAGAAAACCTTAGCAGGGCGGCGCCGCAGAAGCCTAGAAAGATAGCACTTTAAGTGCGATGCGGTAAGGGTGTGATATGATAAAGGTGTGATGGATCAAAGGAGGACGCGCTTCTTGGCCGGCGTGCCTCAAAGGCGGCAACAAGCTTTGACGGTTAGGTAACTTTCCATTTTTATAACTTCTTGACGAACCTGCATGATTCAAGTGAATCGTATCGTCATCACGGCGGAATTCACAAGCATCTACAAGTTTCAATCATGAACAGCCTCCATCGTTGTGTAGGAGGAGAACTGTATCGATGTCATTCGCCAGTGTATAGATAATAATTTATAATCTTAGGCAGCTAGATCCTGACCGAAGCGGTCAGTTTTTTGTTGACGGAAACAGAAGAAGACATCACAAGGCGCTCAGAATGCAGGTCCAGATAGTCTTGTTGAACCAGCCGTTCTGGGACAACCAGGTACAGCGTTCTGTTTGTGCGTCTTTCCAGAACGCCGGTCTGAGGCTCCAAGAGAAAGACACCGTAATCCTTGATCGCGTGGGCTTGAAAGCTTAGCCAATCACAATGCTCACATTTGAATGGTAAGCTAAACTGCAGCTGCCAGAAGGGGCGATCCCCCAATTTGTTTGCTGCCCGCGTCAATCTGACGTTAGTGCGCAGTATCTGCTTGGATCCAATAGGCGCGCATCCGTCAGGTACGCACACTGTGTTTTGGTCACAATACATACCGATCTGCACAGCACAAGTGATAGATACCGTCTTTGCAATTGACCCGGATTTCGATTCAAATCTTGTCGGACCTCGATCGTTAACGAACGAAGATTCGGGATCTTGGGTACAGCATCAGACAGCTGGTTATAGTCAAGGTGGTATTGAGAGGTGGCGTAGTACGATCTGTAGTTGCGGCCATCGCACAATCTCGGCGGTGCCTTCCTTGGGAATGGAAGAGTCTTCGGCCAGTCATTAAGGTTAAACAATAATGCGTTAATTACACTCGGTGCTCGACTCCTGAGCCTAGGTCCACTGTAATAAGCAATAATCGAGATTTAACAAAGAATCAAGTCTACACACCCGGGTCCACACACACACCTCGCCAATCAAAACCACTGATTTGAGTTTATTCCGTTTGATGTCTTCGCTATCGTACACGATTGATTTAGCAATTCGAGTACGTGTATCAACTACAAATACACGTCGGCGGCACACAAACTCACGTACCGTATCACTCGGGTCCCGCTTGTGCATGAAAAACGGCCGGCGGGAACGGCGGACCGGGGAGATCATGCCTCACACCGAGGTGCGCGCAAAGAGGTGGCGGGGGAGATCATGCCTCACACCGAGGTGTTCGCAAAGAAGTGGCGAGGGACACGTGTCCCCTTTCCTAGTGAGAAATGATTTTCTACACACGAAGGGTACTATGTACCCCAGCAGGACGAATAAGTGAGCCGCGAGCGGGAACCCGCGTCCAGCATATCTCCTAGCATTCAACATCTGCCTTTGGATCACCAGAGGCGTTATCCGAGTCCACTTCATTCTCCTGAAAGTGCACCGCAACGGCATCACCAAACCTGCTATTGATTTCTTCCAGAGTAAGACCCTTTGTCTATCCTGATCATGAGAAGCGCTTAGACTACGCCGCATTGGGGACTCACCTCAGGGAAAAAATAGAGCATGACAGCTAAATTCACTGCTGTCAGGCACACGAACACAACATAGTACCCCCACCCGATCCTAGCAAGCGCCGTGGGGCCAACTTCTAAGAACACGACGGTCGATAAAAACGTCCCGGCCATCGAGAACGCCATACCCGGTGCGCGTATGTGCGACGGAAATATCTCGCTGCAGTAGACATATGACGTGGCATCAATTCCGCCAGCATAGAAGCAGATGAAGCAGAATATGAATAGCACGCCAAGAGCGTTCCCCGTGTGAGATGTAGGGCCTACTAGGCGAGCTTCCATTGCGCTTTCGAGGGAGAGGGAGATCATACAGCCGGCGAGACCGATTGCTGTGTAGAGAGTGAGAATGCATGCTAGAGAAAGGCGAAATATTCTTACTGAGCAGCCGAACGCGACCGACATGATCCATGATTATGGCCGCAACCAAGTTCGCGACTGTGGCAACAGTAACATATGTTGCACTAAGCATGATCGTGATTCCTCCAGTAAAGCCCAGGTCTTTGTAGAGATTGACCATATAATCTGCCCAAAATTGTCAATTGCCACATCAACTCTGTGAGAGACGTAAGTACGAACTGTATACGACCATGGAACCAGTCGCCTGAGCAGCATACTGCACAAAGAATCCCATCCACATACGTTTAAGGTACGAGCGCTTTGTTACCATTTGCCAAGCTCCACCGCCTGTAACCCAGGCTTGGGTATCTAGTTCAACTTGTTTCATCATTTGATGAAACTCTTTTTGAGCATAGGAATTTTTATGTGCATGTGACGCATCCGGGCCGTCAACATGTAGCCTGGACACGATCTCCCAGCTCTCTGCATTTCTGCCTTGCATCAATACTGTGAACACGGCTCAACATACAAGTGGAAATTACCGAAGGATTGGAAACGTACACCAACGAGGAGACTCCGGCACCCACGGATTACAGCAAAGGAGGACAAGAGGACAGACACACTGAAGTGCAAATGGAAATCGCCATTGAAAACTCAAGCTGGTCGAGTAATATGTGCCAACAGCGATCCACCCAGTCGCGGCATTTGCTGCGACAATCCAAACACCTTCGCGTAGGAAACGTATTATGATCACAATAGTTCTAGAGGAGTGAAAGACTCACCATGCTGTCCCACGAGAAGCCCTCGTGAAGAGGGTGGAGAAACCTCCGATCCGAAAATCGGGATGATTACCACCATCATACCTGCTCCCCAGCCAGATATGAAGCGTGCCACGATAAGCATGGGGGCATTCACGGACCCTGCGAGGAGGATACCAGCTAGAATCGAGAATATAGCAGCGGTTTTCATCGTCATTTTCCTGCCGTATCGGTCGCACATCCAGCCGGCAGCGAATGCACCGCAAGTACCACCCGCAGAGAAAAATCCATTGATTGTACCGATTATCGCGTTTGAATATGCTGAATTGTCTGCCAGATTGAAGTAGGCCAGGAACCCTGGCTGACCGAGGGTATACGTCAGAACGCTGTTAGCGTAACCATATGTCAGGCTGCCCAACGTCAGAATAAGGATAGTCCTTATGTTATACCATGAGTAGTGGGCAGTCATGGCGGATGTAGGGCGCCCAGGACGCACCTGTTCCAGAGCTATTATGTGCCCATGATGGTCAGCTGAGTAGGCGAGTATTATTGGATAAAACTTGTGATCTCACAAGTGCCACGATGTCATTGGGTTCGAACCTGATAAGTACGGAGGAAGTTTACATATTCAACTCTATCTGAGAGTCTGACGTGGAAAGTTGGGCTGATGCTAGAACGTCCTGTATTATCGAGTGAAAGATTGAGGAAGACTCGGAGGGTACATTGCTTGTAAAAAAAAATGGGCCTGAGTTGTACAGAACATTCAGCGTTGGTGCCAGTATGTGTGCAAATTCAGGCCTCACCTCAGACGAAGCAAGTACTAATCCTAGTAGTTTCGGTTCCGAACTTTCATACTTCTGAGATTCGCGATTTTCTGGATGCGTGTGACATGCCTCTTCACCAGCTGACCATGGCTACTAGTAGCTGCGGAATTAATGCGACTAAGGAACTGTCTAGGTTAGGTTGGACTGACACAGTCGCTCACCCGCATTAAGTTCTGCGGAGCAAGGTACCTTGTTAGTGATGATATGTGAGCACGTAGAAGTTCTGATTCAAACCAACCCTAACCCCATGGAATGACCTACGTCCTAACATGGTAAGTGCGGCGCCGGCCACCTTGTAGGTTGGCACTTCCCACCTAGCCATTCGTTTCTTCGTTTCCCTCGTTACTTCTTCTCCTGCCATGGACTACGACAGAAAATCGACCGTGTCTTCATTCTATGGAGGACGAAGAGGCTCTTTCGATGCCCTGAATCATTCAGAATCTCCCAATTACGCTCCCTCGGGTCGTCCACGAGATGATGCTTCTTCCTTCTATGCCGATCGACAACCACTAGCGAGTCATGATATGCTAACGGGAGGACAATCCGCAGGGTACAACGCATCATCTTTCTTTGCTGCCGGACGCATAGAACCGCTGAAAGGCGGACGTGACGAGGAAGAAGAGGCGCCAGAAGCTCAGACCTGGGATGTTTATGCAGACTTTAACAACGCCGGCCCAAGATACAGCACTGCTTTCGGCATTGGCCAACATCAGGAAGCTGGGTATGCACATGACAGAGCTAACATGTCCTACCATATTGACCGATATGCAGTTATCATCAGCTTCCCCCACCTCCCCCTCCGCCTGGTGCCAAAACAGAGGGTGATGCCGACAGTGCTCACACACCAGTAGAACTGGTTACAGTGCCTGCACTTGGTCCGGAATGGCAGTTATCCGAGATGAAAAACATGACTAAATCGGGTCGACGAGAGATCAAGAGTGAGAAGCGGCAGGAGAAGTGGAAAGCCTGGCATCGCGGGGAGACGGGTTTGTGCGGAAAGTGGTTTACCAAAAAGTTCCTGGCCTTTTTCTTGTTTGGGTTGTGCGCCATGTAAGTCACACTCGTCTTCCTGAGCACAAAGACATTAAAAACTTTTGTAGCATTGGCACTCTCCTCGCAATCACCATCCCTCGAGTACCTGGTTTGTCATTCAATAGCTCCACACCTCTTGTTGCCGCCACTGGGAGCTACAATGCCTCAATTCCCACTGAATTTTCTCGGTACCCAGCCAATTTCTCATTTCCTGCGTACGCAGATATCCAAGTTGATACCACCGCCAATATTATTCCCCTTACCTTCAACTCCATATCTGCACAGGTGTGGGATCCGACCACGAATCTACAAGTCGGCACGGGTTACTTTGGAAAAGATACCCTCCCCGCCAAGTCATATCCGAAGATCCAGATCCCGCTCAATTTCTCGTATGTTGCATCAAACGACTCGGATCCGACGTGGGTCGAGTGGTATAATGCCTGCAAGAATGCTGGGCTTTATACTACCGGGTCAAGGCCAGGTTAGTGTGTATGTCATGGTTGCTTCTATTTGCTCATCAGAACGACAGGTGCAAACTTCAAGCTCATTCTTACTATGGATATCGCCGGACTGCCGTCAACGCAGTCCACATCCACACAGGTGAATGCGGCGCCTTGCCCTATCGAGCTGCCCATTAATTCAGTATGATGGATAATTACTGGACTTATTTGCGCGTCTATCTGCTTATTCTAGTTCTACTGTGTTCTGGGACGTTGCACTATCTCCGCCATTACATAGTCTTGGATATCGGACAATATGATCATCCGTCGTTATTTCACGGCCTGCGCATTCGCCTTACTGCAGTCTGTCTTTATTTCATTTTTTCACTTTAGTATTCACGGCGTTGCTCACCGTCACGATGTGCAGACAGACTATTGGATTATAATTAATGCTGGCATCGGTCAATGATTAGGCTTTTGTCTGCTGGGATGAATTCAAGTTGATCTATTTATTTAAAGTGAAGATAGATATCGAGCTTCCACTGTGAGCAGCGCGCGGTATGTTCACTTCACAATTGTTCAAAGTGGACTTTGCTGCTTCGATCTTCATGGAACTTAGCAACACCTACTTTCGATGTTGACGCAAAAATTGTATTCTGAAATGCGATGATTCGTTGGTGCAACTTGGGGCATGTCTTGCATGTGGATATGAGGCCTTTATAATTAGGATATGTATATAGTTGCGGGATCTATATATAAATATCAATTTCGCATCGTACATGAGATCTAGAGTGGATGTAGGGAAATTTACGCTATCCTGATGTGGGCACCACCGTGACGTATACGTACGGTGAGCTTGTTTCGATCTCTTTCTCTCCTCGGCGAATTAATATTTGCTCTGCTTGTTACAATGTATGTGTTCCATGCATGTCGAGGCGGCGCGGTAACTGGAATGAGCGGCTGTTTCTTGTTGCCAAAGCTCGAACCAAGAAATGGATTGAGCGACACTTGCTGATTACTAGTACTGCTCAGGAACACACGTCCGCTCGTTCAAACGACAGACTGTCCGGCTTCTGACTTTTTAGGTCGCATTCCTTCTCTTCGACACTCGTTGTAATGTTTGCCGCGTTCAGGCATATCATCTGAATCCGACTCATACTCTCGGATGCCGTTGCTGGTGTCTATCC